TAGTAAATCTATAATAAAATCTATACTAACCTAGTCTATTAGCTTTTCTAGGACTAGTAAGGGTTATAAAAGTCTATATAGCTTATATCTATATATTATAATTTACTAGCAGACTGCATATTATTAGATATATTTCTTAATATCTATAGTAATACTATACCACTAATATTAGCTTTAGATAGTATTTAAGATATAATTCTCTCTAAAATATCTACCTTATAGATTACTATAGTTTTAATAGAGAATCTCTTATTAAATTATAGGCACCTTTAGTATAAATATATAATTCCTAATCTAGAGAAGTCTATCTTTAGATCTTAACTAGGGTAAGCTAGCTTACTACTCTAGAGTTATTTTTATTATTTTATATAATATCTTAATATATCTTAGATATTTGGCCTGTGCCCTACATAGTAGGTCTACTATAGTTAGTTCTAATTCCAAAGTATAAGCAGCCTTATACTGTATAGCAGCTTTAGCTATAGTATATAATACTAGAATATCTAGAATATCTATATTATCATTAGTATAGCTCTAGAGGGTATTAACTATCAGGTCTACTATTAGCTCCTAATTCTGTGCTAGTATTCTAATCTATATTAGTTTCTCTTCTTAGATTAATAGACTATCTTATATTTTAGCTTATAGCTTCTCTAGCAGTAAGTCTACTATATATTCTTTAGGATTAATAGTATAGTCTAGATAATAGCTAGGTATGTCTGCAGGATTATTCTTCCTAAGGTAGTATTTAATTTAGATATTAAATATAGATAAGAATTCTGCCTATCTTATATAATGCCTGTTAAGCATTTTTATTATTAGAAAAGCCTATAGATTAATATAGTTAGTAAGAATTTTAATAATATTACTATTACCTTTAATATAGTAGTGCTATTACTTAATACATTCTACTATAGTAAGCATTTCTCTATTATATATATTATATTAGGTTTTAATATCTTATATTTTCTATAACTAGTATACTACTAGATGCTATTATTTATTATCTTAAAGCTAACTAAAGATACTAGTAACTATAGCCTTTAAGGTATTAGGCTTAATATAGCTTTTCCTCTTTAGATTAAAATAGTATAGTACTAGTATAGAGGTGAATCTCTACTTTAGTTTATTAAATATCTCTCTAGCTTCTATAGTAAGGAATTCCCCTTCCCCCTTTAGAGGTTCTTAAGTATATTATTTTCTACCCTTTATTATATATTCTTTAGTTAGGTTAGTTAGAGGTATAGTAATCTTAGAGTAGTGCTTAATAAATCTCTAGTAGAAGTTAGTAAAGCCTAGGAATTACTATATTTTATAGATATTCTAGGGTTCAGGCTATTCTATAATAGTAGTAATATAGCTAGATTCTATCTTAATGCCCTCTGTGCTAACATTAAACTCTAGGAAATTAATTTCCATAGTGTAGAATTCACATTTACTATATTTAGTATAAAGTCTATATTTATAGAGTCTAATTAGGACCTCCTAGACCTACTAGATGTATTCTTCCTTAGTGTTAGAATAAATAATAATATTATCTAGATATATAATATAGTAAGTATCTAATAGATTACTTATAGCCTAGTTAATATATAATTAGAATATGGCCAGTGTGTTTGCTAGGCTGAATAGTATAACTATATATTTAAAATATCTATATTTTATATAGAATACTGTTTTCTATTTATCACCTTTCTAAATTTAGATCTAGTAGTAAGTATCTTAGAGATCTAGCTTTATATAGATCTTAGTACTAGATAATTAGTCTATTAGCTTACTTATAAGTGGTAGTAGATAATAGTTTTTTACTATAATTTTATTTAGGCCTTAGTAATTAATACAGAGTTATAGACTACTATCCTTCTTTAATATAAATAATACTAGGGCATTTATAGGACTCTTAGATAGCCTAATCCATCCTCTCTATAGGTATTCCTTAATATAATTCTAAAGGACTTAAAGTTCTTCCTATAATAGTAGATATAGTAGCTTATAAGGTAGCTAAGTTCCCTCTTTAAGTTCTATTATATAATTATATATAGCATTCTTAGGTAGGATACTAGCTTACTCTTTACTAAAGATATCTATAAATTCTATATATTATGAAGGTAGAAGTAGTATATCTTTAATACTCTTTATAGTAGCCTATAGGTAGATGGTTTTTTCCATCCTAATAGGTATAGTAATTATATAAAATAGTACTTTATAGGCTTATAATTCTTCTACAGCTGTAGCAGTGGATATTAGTTTAATATTTAGCTTATTATTTCTATTAGGGGACCCTGGATAGTAGTACTAAGTAAGGATTTTCTAGTTAATATCTAGATTAATAGCTTTTAGCTAGTCTATTCCTAGAATTAAATTATATTCTACTATGTTGACTACCTTAGTAGCTAGTTAGTAAATTCTGATATTTCCTATAGAATTAGTAATCTTAATTTCTAGATTATATTATCTATAAGATATCACCTTATAGCCATTAATGGCCTATACTAGTTATAGTAAACTTTCTATATTAGATAGGAACTCTTTTACCTACTACTAGTTAATAAATATTTATTTAGCTCTATAGTTAATTAATATTTAATATTAGTAGTGGCTTCCCTTAATAAGAATATTTATTAGGTAAGCTAGTACCTAACTATTATTAGAGTTTCTTCTAATACCTAATACTGTAGTAGTGTATAGTATAGGCTAGCTTAGTTTTTTAAATACTTAGGAATCTATAGTTTAGTGCAGTATTTTAGCTAGTGGCTATATTCTCTATATCTATTATAGTATAGTCTAGGATAATCCTAGTATAGAGAGTAAGAGTATTTCTACTTCCTAGATTCTAATCTATAGTTATTACTAGAATATCTATTACCTCTAGGCTAATAGTCCTTAGTATAGCCTGACTAGTTAYTATAGGGTTTAGAATTCTACTAGTTATTATATTAGATATTATATTATTTCCATAGGGCATCCTGTTATAATGAGATTCTATCTTTAATAGTAGCTAGGTAAGAGATATATACCTCTAGTAGTTCTAGTAGGTTAGTAAATCTAGCAGCTTTACTCTAAATAATTAGTAAAATATAGATATAGAGGAAGTCTCTATAGATAAAATCTAGTAGTAATTAAGCTAGTTAACTATAGATTCTATTAATAAATATAGAGAATTCCTATATACTTTAGTATTCTAGTTAGATAGTAGAGAAATATTATACTGCTACTTCCTTATAGAGTTATTCTAGTGCAGAAACTAGATATAAATAGAAGTCTTAAAAGTCTAACTATCTAGGTATTTTAATAAGCTTAGTCTTATAAGTCTACTATTTATTATAGTATATATCTAAGAGCTGGGCTAAAGCTATATAGATATAGTTTTCTTTATTCTTAAACTAGTCTAGATATTCTTTGAAGTATGCCTCTAGGTAGTTAAAGAAGGTGATATATTCCTATATAGAATATATAGTAAATTACTTAATATTTACTAGCTTCTATAGTCTTTCTAGTCTAGTAATCTTTACCTTAATCTCTATAATTAATTCTAGTAGTGATCTAGTATTCCCTACTTCTTATCTAATAAGGTTATCTACCTCCTAGTATAGTATAGGTATAGGATCTTTATTATAGTTTCCCTATAGTTAGGATTCTATCTTCTAGATATATCTCCTAATTTCTACTTATCTAAGCTTTTACTTAAGCTAGTATTCTCTTTCTAGGAGCTTATAAGTAATCTTATTATTATTATTAGGGGTAGTACTTATTAGTTACTTCCCCTTTTCTATATACTAGGCTTCTAATTCTATAGAGATATTTACCCTTTCTACCCTTTTAGGGGTAGGTTAGTTATTTATATATAGTAGATAAATACTATTATAACTATTATCTAGTTATTTAGTTATAGATTCCATAAGATTAGTTAGTTCTTTATAGATAGGGATTATTCTTTCTACTATAGATGTAGATTTACAGTGTGGGTTTAGAGTTCTAGAAGAAGATCTAGTGTTAATCATTATCTTATAATATCCTAATAGGCTAATTAGATTTTTAAGAGTAATTAGAACTATAAGATCACCTACTAAGGGTTAATATCAACTAGTAAGATCAGTATAAAGGGAGCAAATATCCATATATTACCTAAGTAAGGAGAACTAATTACTAAGTTGCAGAATACTTAGCTAATTACAGAGATATATACAGTGGATCATATAATCTGTTAGGTCTAAACCCTCTACACTATTAGTGTTGGCTGCGTATGGCGGCTTTATGGTTCGCCGTAGCCCTTAACATATAGTTACACACACTGCAGTAACATTAAAGTAGTAATTATTAAATAGTAATATTAAATTCTCACATAGTAGGGATATCGAATTGAATAGTATTAATATTGAATTCTTATATAGTAGGGATATCGAATTAAATAGTATCAATGTCAAATTCTCATATACTAAGAGTCTAAGGATATTGAATTGAATAGTATCAATGTTGAATTCTTATATAGTAGGAATATTAAATCCTTATATACTAAGGTAGTGCCCCTATGTACAGAGTAGTTAGAATTTATATATTTAAGACTTAGGGTACTACATATTCAGAATATATATATGTATAGTGGTATTTAAATTTTAATATCCTACCACTAGGCCAAACGGGTGTCTGGACTATATCCCAGTCAGGACAGGGTCTCATATCTGTAATCATAGCGGTATTCTATTTTCTAACAACAAGCTACCTATTCCTAAGATAGTAAAGTAATTAATACTCAGCGCGTCTTGGGTGACGCTAAAACCTCAAGTTCACCATGATAGGGGACTCAGCCTTCCTAATATATATCTGTCTCACTACTTACCACGTGATATTAAAATTCGACAAGGCTTACTACCCCTCTCTACCTAGATATAAATAGGCAGGACCGTTCGTGCTAGTGACTGCTCCTGTTTAAATACTAATACTTCTCCCAGTTTTGGACACGTTTATTTCGTTACCTACGCTCGCTACCTACGCTCGCTACCATGAAGATCGCTCCTTTCTGGGTCTCTATTGCCCTATTAGTTCCACCGGCTCTAGCAGACCTTACTGAATCCATAGCGATATCTGCTACGTCCACTACCTCTACTGCCGCCGCACCAACCTGTACATCGTCCCTCATCACCAGTCTCTGCAGCTACCCGGAACCAGGCCCAGACTTTGCCGTCGCCAGCGACAGCAGGGCCTCCTGCTGGGACTACTGTAACGCCCACCCGCCCTGCAACTTTGTTATCTTCTCTGCCGGCAACCCTACCACGGGCACCGGCACGTGCTGGCTGTACCCGGGTGAAACCTTCGATGCGAGCAAAGGTAGTTCGAATTGCGCCAATCCCACCCTGTCCGTCTACAACCAGCCCGTGTGTGCTGGCGGGAGCGCAACCACCACTGCTGGCGCCTGCACCGCCACCGCGACTCCCTCTGCTATTGCCTCGGTCTGCGGGTACCCGGCGCCTGGTGACTGCTTTTACGATTGTACTGCTAGTACGGGTGCACCGGACTGCTTGAGTCAATGTGCAAAGGCCGATTCCTGCAGCTATGTCGTCTTTAATCCGGAGAATCCAGACAACTCGCCGTATGCCTCGGGCAGTTGCTGGATCTATCCGAACGGCACATTTAACGCTGGGTCTGCGACCGCTTGTAGTGGCGCTCCTAAGCAGTTTGTGTATAACAACTTGTGTCCCAAGCCATCGCCTTCATCGTCCTCCCTTTCATCATCTGTCACGGAACGCTCTAGTGGCACTGGAAATGCCGGCAATACTACGGGCTCAACTACTAGCGCTGCTACGGGCTCAGGCAATTCTACGGGCTCAACTACTAGCAGCAAGAATTCTGCGCCTGCCGGCCTCTCGCTCACTAATCCATTGGCTATAGGCGTGGCCATGTTAATATGGCAGGCCCTTTAATTATATCATTGCATGTATTGGTTGTTTGTTCGGCTAAACAAGCTATTGGAAACGATATATTATATATTAATGGACTTTGTATGAGGTCACTTCTCGTGTATCTCTCGCTATTGTAGAGGGTATGTTAGGTTATTCATCCCATATTGCAATAATGGACTAGGGTTCCGAATAGTACGAACCACGTTGCTATCTTGGTCGATCCGATCTTAGAAAGAAACGGTAGAATTATAGCTTTGGAATTATGAACACTTGAATTTTAAACACGGATCTTAAACAATAGGTCTTAATCAGTGGTTTTAAACGGTGGAGCCTTCGACGGATTATTTTTGCATCTAACTGTAAATCTAACCTCGTCGATCTCTCGACAAAGTAGGCCCAAGTAGATGTGGGAAACGCCTGTGTATGTCATTAGCACTATAACAAGGGACAACTCTCAACTGTCTTGACTCAAAACTACAACATGTGTACATTGTATTGACGTGATACGGCACACCCCTCAGAGACAAGCTTATTTCTAAACCCTAAGGCAAGACACCATTTCATGCACAAGTCTACATTTGGCTACTTGCCAACCAAAATAAATTTAGAACTCGTAAATAATACACAGCTGAACTCGACCGACTAGAATATTCTCATTTGGTATTGTTATGGAAATCCTCCGTCACCCTCCCCCACATTCCACGCTCAACTTCTGTTCCTCAATCAATCCTATACAAACTGCACACCCTGGGACGACACCTTGAACCTTGGAAGTATATGTTTATCCGCAATATGTTACACAGAAAATGCTTTCCTACTTCTACTACTTCTCAGATTGCTAGCGCTGCCAAATGTAGCAAATATTCTATTATGCTTTGTTCCTCAGGAATTAAACGCGAGCAACATCGTAGATTGAGGAAGCTGAGCAATCAGCGGGTCTACAACCTGATTTGTCATGTATGACACCGCATACTCTTAATACTGCTGTTTGTATACGATTGCTCCCATTGTGTTATTACCAAGCCCTTTGAAGACACTGGTAACTATTGGACAACAGTGAAAAGACAGCTGCTGAGGCAGCAGCTGTACTGCCCTGACCAGAAGCTCCGCCTGCGGATATCCATTAACTATATTGATAGCCCTGGCTGATTCCTCTGCAAAAGGAACAAAGGACGAAATTCGCAACGGGCGTGGCACTGATCCGGCACCACATATTTAATATCTAAGGGTGAATATTAGAGTCCTTGTACCGTGCGGATTCTTGATAACGAAGAGTCTCCCCATGCCAAACTTCGCTCCCACTCATGTGATAGCCGGTTTCTTTGCAATATGTATCCAAAGCTGGGTATTTTGCTGTCAAGTAGGAAGAGAGTTCAAGATGTCAAAACTCAAGGCACCGAAGTATGGTCCAGAGTATTGCTTTCGCTGCTTCATCGTCCACCCCTAAGCTGTCCATAATGATTCGCACTGAGGAGCATAGGCAGGAACCGTCCCCCTTGCTCGACTGAGCCTGCTTTAGCTCCATTTCCCAACTGAATATATCATTAACAATGGTCATAAATCTTGAACAATTCATGTCCAACTCTTCGACGGCCTCGATCTCTTCAGTGGTCATATGGATTCTGAGAGTGAAGTGAGTGACTGGAGATAATAGTCTAGGAATTTTCATTAGCAGAGCAGATGATTTCTATAAGGTTACATACTGTGACCCATTCTCGGTTGCTCTGAACTTCAAGTAACTCCCAAGGTCCACAAGAGTCTTTCTCTTTTCGTCCGCTTGCGCGCGCCAGAAAGCACACGTTGCCTCAAGTATTTCTGCTGCTGCGACGGCGTCCACATCCCTTAATTCCTTCCATAGACGATAAATAATCAATTCTTCTGAGACCGAACTGTTGGGTGCAATCTCATCTCGCGATAGAGATATCATTCTCTCAACGTATGCTTGTCCAGCCTGAAATGACATATGTTCCAGAGGGTCTACCCACTGTTTTAGTTTATATATCATGTTTGATGACAAGGGTAGTGTTATGCAGATGTCCTCTCAATTCTTACCATCTATGAAAAAGAAAGCAGCTGTGAAAAAGCGACAGACGAGTTCAATGCAGTCATTACGAGCATTCAGGAAACTATAGTAAAATGCCTGACTAGATTTAAGAGAGCAAAACTTTTGCAGGTCTCTCTCGGTTTTGAAATTGCAATTCTTCGCGAAGAAGTCGTCATGCCTTTTTGTCACTTCAGGCTGCAACAGATGGGATTTCGAACTTAGGAGAGGGGGACAACTAGTTGGGCAGGCCGACTCTCGTGAAAAGATATGACTTTCCTGAGAATACATTCTTAACATGTAGTTCTCTGAACCAAAAAGGTAAGCTGATGAGAATTACACTCTGATCATCTTCTGGGCATGGGACACTTTAGAGTGATGGTATTCTCTATATCATCTCTTAAACTGCCGCACGAGTTCCAGAACGTCAAGCACAAAGATGGTCATTCTCTATCAGAGAATATTATAGCAACACGTCATCTGGGAATCTCAAGCATTTACCCCACACTTGCCTAATTCTTATCATCCACAGAATGAGAGACACGTAGCTGTCATTCCTCATATGAATAGCTTAGTGTCTCCTGTCCAAGATCTGGGTTACACAATGATGCATCTCACTGTCTACCAAGATGGCTCACTTTCGTCATTTTCGTCCCTAGAACCGGGCAGTGAAGGATTAGAGTGCTACTCTGACTTCAACCTCGCTTCACATCTGTCACCAGAACCAAGTGTGACAGCCCGAGAAGATATACTAAAAATTGCACTCCTCTAGTAGGTATTTCAAAAACTTGGCGTGCCATGTTTTCCTCCAAGCTTCGCATAATGACGCATAAGGAATACACGACGCTTATCCTAGACCTTTGAGGTCTTCATGACTGAAGACACGCGAGAGTTGGAAGCTCCTGCCATCCATAAGAACGACCACGCTCTTTCCATTAGGCGAATTAAATCTACCCTTGCGGCGAGAGGTGTTGAGAAGAATTTTTCAAAAGGTTTCTGGGATCTTTTTGAGGCTATTTTTATATCCTCCTGGGAATGAGAGAACCCAGTCTCCGATCCAACCACCCCGTGATAGAAAACGCAAGTCTCATGCCTGAGAGATGCATTTTCATTGACCCAAGCTATGGGAACATAGTCACTGCACGATCATTCGCATTTTATAACCTTGTCTTTAAAGACTGGCCAAATATGATCCGGGCTCTTAAAAATCTATTGGGTGACCCCATTGCACGAGGGCAAGCATTCTTGCATGCAAATGCTAGGAACATGCCGTCCGTTTCTGACAACGGTGTGGAAGTATGGGATTGTTATACATAACTTCTGATATTAGAGGCTACCAAGAACAGGTAAGGTACATGTGTGATGGTGTAGATCGCTATACTAAGAGGTTAATGATCCAGGGAACCCATAGTCGTTAACGGTCCAAGAACTAATGGGAAATGAACTCTTCAATGGTAAAGGGAAGTTACTTCTCATATAGCATGTATCTCTATGCCGATGAAATAAATAGCTGACCTAGTGTTTATAACAAAGAGCTATCCAGATGATATGGATACTACATCACTTGCTTTTCTAAACTTGGACCATGATACAACCACTGTTGAAGCAGTTCTGGATGAGATGCTAAAATATACTGATGAAGACGGTATTATTATGGTGTGTCATGTTCCAAATGAAAAGCTTCCAATACCTGACAGGAGTCCAGACGTTATTTGACAGTTCGAGGCTAAGAGTCGATCCTGCTATTGTAACCAGTATATTCACACACTTTTGTTCACGCAATAGAGGCTACCAGCTTGCCTGAGGCCACGATTTGGACACTTGTTCTATGAATAGTCATTCTGTCGCCCTCTCCTTTAGCCGTTAATTTAGCCAGGCACTCTATGATAGGCACGGTTGTTACTGGTCTGCTTTTATGGAGGCTGTTCCCCACTGCTGTTGCATACTTTTTTGGAACTTGCATACTTTTTGATCTATCGAGGATCTATCCCACTACTTCCAAAGCATACGCAGCAGACTTCTAACCACTAAAACCGCAAATCCCATCCAATTTGAGGCCCTATCTTGGGCAACTCATCGATCACGCTCTGCACGTCCTTATCCCCACGCCCACTCAAGCACAGCACAAGATCCTTGCCAGGCCCCAGCCGCTTGGCTGTCTCAACTGCGCCCCAGACCGCGTGAGATGTCTCCAACGCAGGAATGATGCCTTCCAGCTGGCTCAGCAGTCGGAAGCCCTGCAGGGCCTGGGCATCGGTGGCTGAAAGGAATGTCGCCCGGTTGCTCTCGTTCCAGTGCGCTAATTCCGGTCCAACGCCGGGGTAGTCGAGTCCCGCGGAGACTGAGTGAGTATCGGAGATCTGTCCATGCTGGTTCTGCAGCACATAGGTCCGCACCCCATGCAGAACCCCGACCGAGCCTCGACTCAAGGTAGCTGAATGCCGTTCCGTGTCCAAGCCATCACCTGCGGCTTCCACCCCAACCAGCTGGACGGAGGCGTCCTCAGAGAATGGATAGAACATGCCGACAGCATTGGAGCCGCCCCCGACACAGGCGACCACCGCATCCGGGCTCTTGCCCAGGTCTCGCAGCTGGGCCCTGGTTTCGTCACCAATCACACTCTGGAACGTGCGAACCATGGTCGGAAAGGGATGGGGCCCGATGGCAGACCCGATAATATAATGCGTTGTATCCAGGCGCGTAATCCATGCACGAAAGGCTTCATTCACTGCATCCCGGAGCGTGCGCGACCCCGACTCGACTGGGATAACCGTGGCCCCCAACAAGCGAATCCGGAACACATTCAAGGCCTGGCGACGGACGTCCTCCGCGCCCATGTAGATGGTGCATTTCATGCCGAATTTCGCACAGACGGTCGCAGTGGCGACCCCGTGCTGACCTGCGCCTGTCTCGGCGATGATCTCCGTCTTCCCCAGGCGACGGGCAATTAGGATCTGGCCCAGCGCGTTGTTGATCTTGTGGGATCCCGTGTGGTTGAGGTCCTCCCGCTTCAGCCAGATATTCGCGCCGCCTGCGTATTCGGACAGGCGCGGAGCCAGGTGCAGGTTGGAGGGACGTCCCATGTACGGATAGTACGATCGGTATTCCTCCCAGAAGGTGGGATCATTGCGAGCGGCCTCGAAACCGGCCTCGAGTTCGGCCAGGCAGGTGGTCAGCGCCTCGGGGGCGTATTGACCGCCGAAGACACCGAACCGCCCTGATCCGTCGGTCACAGCCGCCTCTCCCTCGACAGCAGGCTGGGCGACCGCATTCGTTTCCATCGCGGCAGAAGGCCCACTGGTAACCTTTCTTTGTGTGATCTGGGAACAATAGTCCTCGACTGCCCGGGCGGCCTGTCCGGCTGGAGCGCCATCGAGGATCGTAATCACTTGACTGCCGATGACAGCGCCATCGGCGATGGAGGTCACGCTCAGGAAATGCTCGCGCGTGCTGATTCCAAACCCGACGGCTACGGGGACATTGCCGGAGAGCTCCTTGACGCGCTGGATGAGGGCGGGAAGGTGTGAATTGAGGGTCCCGGTGGCGCCGGTGACGCCCATGCGGGAGTCAAGATAAATAAAGGAATCGGCCATCTTGCAGAGGACCTTCATGCGGTCTTCGGTGGTGGAGGGGGCGATCAAAGGGACGTACGAGAGACTGTCATTGAGTCAATTAGTTTACTCGTCCATTGTTAGGGTTGGTTGCGGCCATACCCTGTCTTCGTGCAACCATTGCGGAATCGAACCGCTTCTTCCGGAGGCAGATCAACAATAATGAAGCCGTTGACGCCGGCCTCGATGCAATCTGCCAAAAGCTTCGACTCCCCATACTTCAGTATAGGATTATAGTAACCCATAAACAGCACCGGAGCCTTTAACCCTTTTCTCCGTGCTGTTCTAACCATGTCCAACATCGATGTGACTGTGACACCATTTTCGAGGGCCTTCAGATTCGACTTTTGGATGGTCGGGCCGTCTGCAATGGGATCGGTAAAAGGAAGACCCAGTTCAATAATATCTACACAGTTCTATCAGAATCAATTCAAAGCTGTAGATCAAATGACTCACCTGCCCCTCCGGCCTGCATGCCCAGCATGATGTCCGGGCCTCCGGGGTTTCCTCCGCCGTGGGGAATCCGGCCGTCACGTACGTGACCAGCGCTGGACGGCCCTCCTCATGGCATTGGGCAAATATTTGTTTAAGATGATCCATGATGAATCAAGTTTGTGGAGGATGGAAACATAGAAACCACGAAGAGGGTATGATTTATTCTAAAATAGATTGTCCCTTGACGGTATGAGTCACGGCGAGTGGAGAGAACAAGACGCCGGAACGGGCCATCTATCTATCTAACTGTCCTTTATACTAGGTAACTAGCGTGAACTAGGACTAGATGCGTGACTAGCGGGTTTATAGTTGCCCTAGATGACAACAATCTTCCTAATCAGCGTGAGAGTGATTCCCTGTCTTTCTTTCTTGCGCCCTTCCTGTCGCTGAAACTTTATTCTCAAAACATTAAGCCTGTCCATATGGCTAATCAGACCTCGTCTTCTGCTCTGTGTCAGTTTACCAACGCAAAACCTGTGTCTCTCCACTGGCAGTTTTCGGCATGCATTGTTCATCAACCCGTAATCATCATTGAGACGGAGAACACTATCCTTCTGGATTGGTCGATCAGAGTGCCGACACAGGAAATGCATCTCTTTCATGCGGGATCAACAAAGTCCACAACTCTCCTTACACTACGCCTCCTGTCGATGACTTCCTCATCTGGGCCCTCATCTGGGCCCTGGATATTGTCCACAGCATTCCCTGCCTCAGGAATATGTACCCGTAAAACAGTATTTGCATCAGGCTGGCTGCCAAGACGTTAACAATCACAGACTTTTGGCAACACCTGATGCCTTCAATCACTTACCTCACGGAAGCTGCCGAGCCCTCCCTCAGCACATTGATTCCAACCCTTAAGAGCTGAGCATCCGTCGATGAATACCTCTGCCAGAAATTCCACGGACTGACTGCAACTTGAGTAATGATATCCACAACACCGCGGAAAGCTATCGAGGCCGATCCAAACGAGACTGACGAGATGTGTCTGCGAAATGGAGCCCCATTGTGCAATAAAACCCAACCCTCTGGTGTGAGTATTTCGGCGAGCTCCGCGAACCAGGCCACTGCTGAAGAGACGTAATTCCGAAAAAACTCGAAGAGCAGGTAGATGATGGGTTCGAGGAAATACGTACTATAGCGCATTTGCGTGAGGACTGTCGAATGCAGCAGTGCTTTCGCAGCTCTTATGGTGTCCTTAGCCTGCATTGGGTGAATGAAGTCCCTATTCATCCCTTCAAACTCACCCATAAAGACATGGAATTCACTTGCAAGTATTGCACCGCGACCAGTAATGTCTTCCACTTTGCGATTCTTTGGGATGCGTCTGCATAGGCCTATTGCGAAGTGCTGACAGTTGTCACCAAAGGCATCGTAGGCAGGGTAAGCCGATTTTAAGTCATTGGCTGGGAATAGTAAGTATTGACTGGTGGGGATAATATCGTAGCTTAAAAGACATCCATACCAATTGCAGTAATGCTCTCATTACTAGCCTCAGTCTTGCCCACGAAAACCTCCGAGTTGTAACGTCCCTCCACATCCTCCCAACTCCTCACGGAAAAGTCGACATATCCACTGTATTTGAAGAGATCCCAGACATCATCGCCAACACGAACGCCCCAATGCCGCGTGCAGTGAGGTGCATACTTTTGGATGAACGGTTTCAGGAATCGGGGGCAACCTGGTACATGCAGTATGACGGAGGATGAGGAAAAAATGAGATGGATTGGTCTGTCGTTTGTTTGTGTGGATTCATTAATATTTTCCATTGTACTGAAGAGTTGAAGTCAGTGATAAAGCACATTTAGTGACTTGAGACTTGAGAGGCAAGAGAAACTAGTCTGGAGGTAGTAAGGCTGTTCAGAACTTCAGGCCCACACGACGATAACTAGGCGCTTGACACAGTGGTTGACAGCCGTAACTTAGCGAATCAAGTTTGAATGTTATGAAACTAGTGGGAGGTCATGAAACTGGATAAGTTAGAGCAGCTGAACCACATTGTCAGAAGAAGAAGAAGAAATGAGGGGAAGAAGCAGCCACTTTAGCCCTCACCGCACGTGATCGTCTAACGGGCTGTGTCCCTCGACTCCTACACTCCCTCCATTGAACGTGCTCAAAATTAAAACCCACCGCAAGCCCACTGTCAAGGCGAGAGGCCTGAGACTTTATGAGTTCGTTGACTTCAATCCACTAATGTGATACGCGAAGGACATATAGTCCGCGTACTGTTGTACTACATACCAATACAAGCGAATGATGTGTAAAGGATGATATGGCCAATTTAGCGTCACTGTCCAGTCCAGTTTCTGATTTCTACTACACAGCATCAACTCCGCTTGCCTGAGGTTGCCTGCAACGCTACTCGGACTTTTCAACCCAATATGCCCATGCGATCGCCTTCACGAACCATGCCAAATGCACTATTCAGCGGAGGCACTCAGGTTGCCGGCCATGCCGCAGGAGAGGCAAAAAGGTCAGTCATTTTCTGGCACCATTAGTGGAAGTGTCTCAATTTCATCAGTGTGATGAGACAAAACCTTGCTGTCGAGCCTGCGCACGACTGTCCTTAGAATGCAGTTATGGTATTGATTTTAGTTTTCGAAACCTCGACGGAGCGTGGTTCCAGCAGCATGCCATAGCTCAGAGGGCGTCGTCTCCATCAGGTACACGTTCAAACACCCGTACCTTGGATAATGCGCGGGGTAGAAGTCACAGTTCCCATGAGCTTAACTCTGTCAGCCAACTCTACAAGACAAACCTGGAGATTGGCTACTTGGGTCATTTCCAGAGACATGTGCGCCATCTGCTTCCTACAGCTTCTTTACTATTTACTGATGGATCCATTCGGGCTCCTTGTTTGCGGTTCGCTGTGGTTTGCATTTTAGCATCTAACCTCTTCATGCTGAATGCGCGAGTTCAGAGCTGTAATATGGCTGGTGATAATCTAAGATTGGTCTTCAGCCCGCTTGTGAATAACTTGCATCACAGCCAAGCCCGGAGATATCACGACCAGGCGCTTCGGTATCGTCGGATGGCGGAGGCCGCCGAGGTCGAGCGTCAAGCGCCTGCACTCCTTGCTGCGCATATTCTTCTCGCCTACTACCACCACGCATCGACCAATCATCTAAGATTTCGGCTGGCAGTTTGGGATTCCGTCCGGTTCGTTTTGCGAAACAGAGAGACGATAATGGGGTCGACAGACGGAGCCGATTTGCTGTAAATGTGGTACCGTCTCTCGTATATCGCATCGACTCGCAAAGCCACCTGCGTTGCTCCTCGACGGGGAAGGGGCTAGTTCTTTTGGGCCCAATCGCTTTCCGGATGCCATGGATCACATCTATCTCAGCTGTATCCGAGGAATGAGTGTGGACGATCTGATCTATGACATCCTTATCGAGACCTTGGAAATCCGGACAAAGTTGATAGTGTTTCGCTGTGTTGCAAGTCGCTGCCACATATCCGAGCTCTCAAGTGAGATTGGCAGCATAGCCCATGAATCCTTGAGCAAAATGCTAGGAAGGCACTACACACTGGACGAATGCGCGGAAGCCCGGGAAGGGTTTGTGCGAGGCCCGCATCTCCTGGAGTTGTTAGACGTCCAAAGGGAAAGACTGAAGGTCTGAAAGTCCAGACTCAACGAGGATCAGCTGCAGTCCACTATTTTTCGAAAACATGTATGCAAAGATCAACTCCATCCATGTGTCAACGGTTTCCCATCCACCGAGACGCTATGAATGCCCTATATTGCATGATCTGCGAAATAATTTTCGAAGAGGCTCGTGGAGCTCCAGCCACGGCTTGAGACCGCAGCTAGAGGATATGAGCACTCCACCTTGTCAAGCGGATCATTAGACAAATTGGGGAATATTGGGCCCAAGGTCGAGTAGTAAACTTTGCCTTACAGCAGTCGCGGAAAATACGTCAGAACTGCAGCTGTTGGACATCCATCACCCTATAGACTTGGTGATCTGCGGGTATAGCAAGGACGGTAAACATTTCATTGAAAAAATACTACTCCGATAATTGCCTGCTCAGCCTTTCATAGTTCAGTTAATCAGGTTTCTCTAATGGGGGACAGCAAACTGTCGAACATTTACTGTAAGGGTGATCAGCGAAGTTGCAAGGCCCATAAATCTGTGAAGACAGAAGTTCCCTGTGGCAGTTTGTTTCCAGTGCCTGTTGCAGCGTTGCTGAGGAACTACCGGGGCCTTTTCATGAAAGGTAGTCTAGAGCTGTCACAGATGACTGAACACTAGCTCCCGAGCCTGTCTCTGCTGGATCATCGGCGTGCAGTATGGGTGGTAGGTCTGGTTCAACTTCTCCAAGCGATGGTACATTGTCCAAAATTATGCGAGTAAAAACACACCATTCGGATACTATTTATAATCTTCATCTCTAATATCAGACAGGAGATATGTGAGAACATTCCATGGACCCAAACCAACACTGTCATGGATGAGTCCAGTTATCTCGGTTCTTTCTTCCTGCCACAAGATTGAGAGTTGACTCTTAATGACACAGCCATGCTATTCAAGAGGCTGGGGAGGAAATCAAAGCAGTGACGCGGCCGACTACGCATCCACATGCAATGAACGAGGGAGGATGCCGCGCAATCATTCGCAGAAGTCTGGATTTATATAGCTCCACAATGGCTTAGAAAGAGTGAGTGGGTCCAGGTCAACGAGTGATGGCCAATTATTTCAGCCACTTTGGTGCCCAGACCTGATAGGAATTATGCCGAAAGCTTGGCTTTGAGACTTGTGGAGTGGATCTATATATAGGTTTCTACTGGACAGAGTTGGTGCCAGCCAGATTACCTTGGTAAAGGTTCTATGAATGTTGATTGAGAAATATGCTATCTTAGATTTACCTCTGGTTCGATATGTTTGCTATGTTGCTTCTGATTTATACTATTAGCGCGGACTGGTTAGCAGCTGGACAAACATGTGGGAAGTTGATCATCATCATGTATGGAGTAAATATTTTCAATCCGACAATTATCTTCATTGTGACGCTGTATCTATCATGGCTATGGGCCTGAACGAGGTTTATATTCAAGCACTTCATAGGCCTTGCAGCGAAGGTGAATGGTACATTTATAGGATCTTGACAGGGCAGTTGGCAAGTGCCAACCGCCCAACTCTGTATAGACTACCAGATAGTGACTTCTTGGTGATATTCAAGTCTAATTGATTATAGTTATCAATCTATTGTTCAACACTTCTGCCTGGAAGCGGCCCGAATCCGATTCAATACGACGACGCTTATTCGACGCCATAGCCCGTTAATGGAACCATCTCCACCATGCCACGCGTCTCAACCAGTAACCTTTGAAACTGCTGTCCTTTGCGATTCTACCGAGCACTACCGAGAAGAATACTTTAGAATTGAGAATTTATGTCCGATCAAGAGTGCGTGTCATGCCAGACGAACGATGGCCCGTTCCACTTCGGAGTTAACGCTGGATTCGTCATGTGGCTGGTCGCTGCCCTACATCAACAGCTGCTCCCCAGTCTTCTAGTATAAACCAGTCGTTCGTTAGCTTCACTCGTTCTTAACTGATACACTCGTTTGATATTTAATTTTGTTCCCAATAGCCATTAGTCAACATGAACCTGCCATTGCTGGCCATTTCGGCCTTTGTCTCCCTCGGTGCCGCGCAGACCTATACCAGCTGCAATCCTACGAACAGTAAGCCAGATCATGAGAGTCAGAAGCCGGCTGGACTAACAGGAGTAGCAACTTGTGACCCCGACACAGGCCTGAAACAATGGAGCCTGTCCACCGATTTCACCCAGGGTAGCTCCGATGAATGGACTGCCATATCGGGCAATGTCACCTACGGCAGCAACGGGGCCGAATTCACCATCAACAAGCGGTACGATGCGCCTACGCTTGAGACCAACTTTTACATTTTCTTCGGCGAGGTCGAGGTTGTCATGAGAGCAGCCAATGGCACCGGTATCGTTAGCTCCAGCGTCATACAGTCGGATGATCTGGACGAGATTGACTGGGTGAGTACTGCCCTCTATAATATCAGAGAGATACTGACTATGGTATATTGACGGGACATCTGTGCGCACGCTCGAGTATGCTGATGCCGTCGACGGGAAGAACTACCCGCAAACACCCATGGTCGTGAAGCTGGGCATCTGGGCCGGTGGCGAGACGGATTACGACGATGTCCCCTTCACCATGTACGTCAAGTCGGTCAACATCATCAACTACAACCCCGCTGCTTCGTACAACTACACCGACGAGACGGGTTCGTATACCAGTATTGTGGCCTCGAATTCGACTACCGGCAGTGGCATCCATAGCTCCAACTCGGTCAGTTTGTCCGCTTCCTCGTCCTCTACTTCAACCTCCACCTCTACGTCTTCTAGAGCATTGGTTGCTGCGGCGAGTACTTACCCGGCCTCTGTGCAGACCTCCAGAAGTGGTGTTGTCAGCTCGTCCTCTTCGTCTGCTTCCTCTTCTTCCTCAGCGGCTGCATCCGGCTCGGCTAGTGCTTCGGCCGTATTCACCGGTGCTGCCGTGACCAATCTGCCTTGCTTCTTTTTTACTGTTTTCTTCGCACTGGCTATCGTACTTGGCTTCTAAAGGCGCAACTGTACTAGATCCTAATCAGAATAGATTAATACATAACCATTATACAATCTCTATCTATACCTCAATCCCCCCCGCAAGAACATCCACGACCTTCTCCTGAAAATCCACCGCCAACGCCGGCCCTTCGTTCCCCCTAAACTCTCCCCTCAGACAAGCCAGCACAGCCCTCGTATACCCAACCCCCATCTCCTTCGGCAATCCCTGCTGCGCCAGCGCAACCAGATCCTCAAGCACCTTCTTCGCCCTCGGCAGCCGCCCGCTCGTCTCCGCCTCCCGGATCTTCCCCTCCACCAGCCGCGACAGCGTCACCCACAGCCCGATCTCAAGGAGTACCACCCCAAGCGCATAGATATCATGCTCGCGGCTGAACTGCTGCGTCGGCCGGCCCTGCCGGCTCGGATGCCGGTAGAGGTTCGGCTCGACCTCGAAGTCGAAGCGCATGTCTGTGCCTTGCTGTACTGAGCGCGCGTAGCCCCAGTCGCTGAGGTAGGAGACGATTTTGGTGTTGTTGTCTGGAGACGGAGTAAGGCGGTGCGCGTAGAGGCCGGATGCGCGGGTTCCGGTGGGTGTCTCGAGGAAGAGGAGGATGCCTCTGCTCCAGATGTTCTTGTGGAGCCAGGCTGAGGCGTGCAGGTTGGAGACGGTCAGGGCGAGGCTGTGCGCCACGCTGAAGCGGTCGTTGAGGGAGGGTTTTTTCAGTGGGCGTTTTATTTGGCTGTCGACGGCGTTGATGAAGGCGTGGAGGGTTGTGAGGGTTGCGCCTGTGGTGGGTTCGGCGGGGGGCAGTTTGTAGAGGAAGACGCTGCGCTCTTCGATGGGTTGGTCGATGAAGCCAAGGCATTTGAGGGCGTAGATCTTTGGCTGGTCGAGAGAGTTGGACGAGGTGCCGGTGAAGGTCGTGTTCTGCAGCAGCCAGGCGAGATTGCGGATGGGTTCTTTCATTTCTTCGATCTCGTCCGGCTCCAGGTCGTCGCGTTTGACCATGCTCTCGTACTCGTGGTACTCGACGATCACGGTCATCGCTTCAGATTCCAACGCCGACCACTTCCCCAGTCGGAAACCCCCCGTCGTCTTGCCTTCTTCGGTAATTGTGCCAGGTAAGCTGCGGAAGTCGGCCGGCGCCTTGGCCGCGGCCAGCGTCCGGCGCTTCATCACCGGCTCCAAACCACTGCTCTTCAATCCATGCTGATCGCTCTCCGCCATCCTGGCCAACGTATCCTGCGACATGTGCTGCATGAGATTGCGCAGGTCCCCGGACCACTTTGTATACTCCTCCAGGATGCGGTTCAGCTTCTTCCTGTCAAAGAGCGACCAGTCGTAGCCCTTGAGTTTGAGCGATCGGGCCTTGCTCTTTGCGCGCTCCAGCAGCGACTCCTGCGCTTTGGCGGGCTTCTCAGGCTCAATGGCGAGATCCTCGTCCACGAGACCGTACTTTGCCGCCACGAGCTCGTACTCGGCAAGGGTCTTTCGCATCTGCACCAGGAGCCCTTGGACCGTGTCGGCGATGAAAGGGTCCACCTTTCCCGGGAGCAGGAGGCCATGCTCGGGGTCGAAGAAGGTGCGTTTGAAGAAGAGCAAGGTCGAGAGTTGGACATTGAGCTTCAGCTGGATCTCGACCCGGTCGTCGTCGAAGGCTTTGATGTCGGAGATGACGCCTTTGATGAAGATGGTGACTTGGTAGACTTGGGTGATGGCTGTCACTGCCGTACCGTAGAAGTCCATTTTGCTTGATCTTTCGGTTGACGACGAAGAGGAGAATATCAGACGGAGTCGAGAGGGGTTGGGTCGTGAGGCTGGCCATCAGCACTAACGGCGCAAAGTGGGATGAGGCTGACAATTACTCCAAATATTGGCTGTTACTCATATTTATAAACATGACCCCGCAGAAGTGATAATATCTGTTTTCTATCACTTTAGATGACTTCAAAATGACCGACCTCTCTGCCTACGACGAAATCCTTAATTCCCTAGAGGAAGACAGCTACAACACCATCAACAGCAGCGATCTCTCTCCATCGCTTCAAGCCTGGTCCAACACCACAGACACCGACGAGTTCGACCTGAGCAGCCTCAACCTCTCCTCTAACTCATCCTCATGGATCAACCCCCTAGAATCCGCTATAACAGCCACCCGCAACGGCTCGTCGCCCGTCCTCAGCACCCTCTCGCAGTTCACAGCCCTCCTCGCCCAAACAGGAATCCACGGCCCCCGGATCCTAAAAGCCCTCAATCTGTCCACCCGAGGAACCAAAATCGGCGCAGGCAACCAGTTCACTGTCTTCACCGACCCCATCTACGAAGGCCAGGTCATAAAGCGCGTCAATGTCCCGCTCTCCAGTAAAGCCGAGCAGCGCTTCGCAGCCAGCACGGACTACCGCCTGCAGCTGCGCACGTTGGGACTGGAGGTCCTCTCGCTATGTAACCCCGTGCTGCACGCGCACCCAAACATCACCAGTCTGCTGGCGTGGGGTTTCGATTTCCCATTTGCGGATATGGCGGTGCCGGTGCTGTTCATGGAGGCCGCCATGATGCCTTTATCCGATTTTCTGGGCGCGGAGTAGCGCACCGTCGAGGTGAGGTATCAGCTCTCGCTGGACGTCGCGAATGGGCTGGAGGCGCTGCATAATCTGAGGATCGTGCATGGGGACGTGAAGCCGGATAATGTGCTTGTGTTTGCGGGTCCGAGTGAGCGCGTGCCCTTCCGGGAGAAGTTGAGTGATTTTGGGGTCTGTGTGGATTTGGAGGCGCCGGATGCGAAGTTCATGTTGAGTGATTACCGGGGCACGCAGGCGTGGCTGGCGCCGGAGGTGGAGGATGGGGATCTGGGGAGGTTTGGGGGGTTTTCGTCGGAGTTGATGTTTAGGTTTGACGCGTATAGCTTTGGGCTGGTGTTGCTGTCTATCTTTACGGGGAACGGCGAGGCGCCTGTTCTGGATGAGGATCCGGAGAATGTTCCTGATCAGGTTTTCGAATTGCTTTATGGTCAGGAGGACATTCCGAAGAACATACGCCTGGAGCTGCGCAAAGCGATATCAAAGCTCCTGTCCGAAGATCCACGGAAACGGCCACTTCCTAGCCCGGATTTGATCAAAACCGACAGCCCGGTATACGCAGCTTGGTAAGTTACGCTCCACTGTATGATTGGAATAGGCTGACGATTAGGCTCTCCTCCATCCAATTGACACCTACAAACAAGCACGTCGGGATCATCGACCCGATCTATAACAAGGGTCCCTTGTTCTGGTACCGGCTTGATGAAACCGTTCGTACAGAGCTGGAAGAGCAATATGCCCTGATGAAAGAGGGCAACGCACCGCCCTTCCCCGGCGATGTGCTCTTTGGGCTGGCACAGACGGTCACCGGCGCGAAGCCCTCGTACCTCGATCGGTTGCTGACGTATCTAGCCGAGGCAGCCAGGGCGGGATACTCGCCTGCAAGGGCGGTATATGCGCAGATCATGGCGGCGCATGGTCAAAAGCTGGAGTTTGCGGAGGATGTGTTGGAGGAGTGGATGTTGCAGGCGATTTCCGAGGGGTATTTCTTTGCAAGTCCTAGTTACTCGAAGGAGAAGATCGAGGAAGTACGTCAACAGTTCAGGGCCAATGGAGGGTTCTGTTCAGATCCATTTGTGGGGAAGAAAGATGTTGTCGAGGCTGCGAGGGACAGGGACGAAGCGCTGAAGTGGGAGAGGAAGAATGGAAGTATTGTTGATCGGAAAGGAAACACGATCCTACACGCTGCGGCCGCATTGGGAGCTACTGATGTCGTTCAAGCGTTACTAGATGAGGGACAAGTGTCCGTCAATGTGGAGAATGAGAAGGGAGAGACGCCGCTGTAGAAGGCATTCCAAGCTGGCCATGCGAAAATAATTGAACTATTGCTTGACAAGGGCGCCGACACTTTGACTGTCACGCCGCAGGACAAGGTGAGTCCGATGCACTGGCTGTTTATGATTCCTGACTCTTCTATTGCTGGAATCGCAAGAAGAATGATCGAGGGAGGCGCGAATATCAACGCAACTATCGAGCCTGTTGTCAAGGAGAACAGTGGCGGATTCCCAGAAAAGATCCAGATTCTTCACTAGTATGTTCTCTATCTTCCTCTCGAGAACGATCTAACAGCGACAGTCCATTTGAGCTTCCCCACGGGACACCTCTTCACTGGGCTTGCTTCTTCCGCAACATGACAGCAGTCGAAGCCCTGCTTCCTCTGGGTGCCAATTTCAACGCAAGCTATCATACCTCGGATGCATCCACCACTCCCCTGTTCTTGGCCGCGTACTTTGGTGAACCATTTCTAGCCAGGTACCTGATATCTCACGGTGCCGATGGTAGTCTAGTCGACTCCATGGGGCGCAACGCGCTGCATGGAACCACAAAGTACTTCCCCGAGCGACATGGCTATCTTCCTCACCACTGGCACTACTGGATCCGTCACAGCGACTGGGAGCAACATCTGGGGAGAATGACGGAGTTGGTCAAGATACTTGTCGATGCAGGCGCAGATATCAATGCCAAAGACAAGGCATATCCACCACTGACTCCCGTTGCGGCGGCTGCCAATCTGGGAGTCTGGGACGTAGGGGTAATCTTTGCGCTGTTAGACGCAGGGGCAGACTTAAGTCAATCCGTCCTGTCAGCCGGAGATACAGTTCTACATTCGTGGGCGTCCATAGTTGGACCACGTCTAGCTTATCCCGATTCCTACCTGTCAACCATGAAGAAAATCGTCAACGCCATGCCAGATATTGAGATCCCAAACATGTTTGAAAGAGATACTCCACTGCATTCGTTAGCCACCATCTACCACCACGAGGAGGAATTTGAAGCCGCATGCGAGATTTTCCTCGCCCACTCTCCTCCAGCAGACATCAACGCAAAGACCCGCCGCGGCGCGACTCCGTTAACCATCGCCCTCGAGACGGATCTCGACCCGACACGACGAGGCCACTTCCTCCTGAGCAAGGGAGCCGACACGCTTGTCCTCAACGACCGGCGAAGGGACATCTTCTTCTCGATCGTCAACAACACCGCCCTAACTGACCAGGCTTCGCACGATCTGATCCGAACATTCCTCCATCATCTGAACCCTGATATCCAGCAAGCATATACAAAACACTATCTCCCCAATGCCAACAGCTACCATACTTTTTTCGCCGCCGCAGAACGCGGAAAACCACTCACACTAACACTTCTCCTCTCCCTGGGCCTAGCCGCTCGCATCAACGAACTCGAGCACAGTAAACCCACACCAGGGACCGTCCTAGATAAAGCCCTCCAGTGGGGAGAAATCAGCCGCCGCACACACATACGACGGCTGGCGGCCCACAAGTCCGGAGCTAGTAGAAACCAAGCTCTCGACCAGAACCTCGTGTATATGAAGCGCAGGGTCCGCCCGCTCGAGCTGCGGAGGCCTACCGGAGTTTTCCTGCGGTGATACGCGTTCTGAGAGATGCCGGAGGAAAGCGAGCGTGCGAGTTGGAAGGTTGTTCGAGCACAGGGGAGTATATCGAGCAGCCTTGGGAGTGGAATTTTACGGAAATATACCACTATGGATTTATGCCGAGAACGCAGCCGAATTTGGAACAGTGGAATGGGTTGTATGAGATGGCGAGATATTCAGAGCGGTGGCAAAAGGATAGGCTGAATGCTTGGAAGGAGGAGTACGAAGAGGGAAGGTGGAGGCCGGATGTTAGAATGCTGGAGGAGGAGGAGCAATCATTTGTGAAGGAGCTAGTCCGATGTCTGGCAGGAGAGGGGAGGGTCACGCTGGAAGCTGTAGATGGCCAGAAAATGCAATGGCAGGTCGAGATGGGGGGGGGAGGATAGTGAATAGACAGATCAAGAGATGACTATGACTCTATTGAATATGAATGACACCATCAATGTCAATGCGTCTCCATAAACAAGCAAAAATAAGACTTGGCTTGGCTGTCCTTGGCCACGCATTCCTGCAGATCACTCGATAACACCTTCCCGTATGGAACAATAGTGGGCTAAACATGTCATTGTGCAGAATCTCCAACACGCTAAGGCCGCCACAGCATCACGTCCCGCTTGTGAGGGGTAGACTAGACCAGCAAGACATTTAAGACGAGCATGTTGCGACTCGATCGTCAATCTACAATCACCATCCACACTAAAATGACAATCACAATGGCCACCAAGATCAAGCTCCTCCCCAACCCGCACTACCGCAAGTCGGGGACCAAGTCCTATGTCCACCTCATGCGCAAGTACCGCTTCACCCCAACAAAGGGCGGGCCATACTTTATCAGCAGCTCGCTTCACCAGACAGGCCGGCAGTATACAAACCTGCCTGTCGGTGGCAAAGCTCGCATTCAGCACATCCTGCGCAAGAGAATCGCGAATACAGACCAGACAGGCGAAGTCGGCGCCGACGACGTCCAGAATGACGCCATGTATCTGGCGCCAGTGAGTATCGGTACTCCAGCGCAGACGCTTAATCTGGATTTTGACACGGGATCCGCGGACCTATGGGTGAGACACTACATATCTCGTTAACACTTGCAAAATACTAAGGAATAGGTCTGGTCAACCAACCTCCCCTCGGCGACCACCTCCCAGCACAAGTCCGGCACAATCTTCGACCCAAGCAAGTCGAGCACTTACAAAGAACAGTCTGGCTCGACATGGAAGATCTCCTACGGTGATGGCTCCTCTGCCTCCGGTACGGTAGGTACAGATACAATCTCGCTCGGCGGCTTGAAGGTCCAGAACCAGGCGATCGAACTGGCCGACACCCTCTCCGCACAGTTCCAGCGGGGAACTGGCGACGGCTTGCTGGGACTGGCATTTAGCAATATCAACACGGTCAAGCCGCAGGCTGTCCACACTCCTGTCGAGAACATGACCTCTCAAGAGGACATCCCGAAATCGGCGGAACTGTTCACGGCGAAGTTGGGGTCCTGGAAAGATGCGGATGAGCCGGATAAGGGGGAGTCATTCTACACGTTTGGGTTCATCGATCAGGATACCGTGACGGCGTCGGGCCAGGAGGTATACTACACTCCCATCGACAACAGTCAAAGATTCTGGCTTTTTGACTCTGCCTCAGCGACTGTGAATGGCAAGACAATTGCGCGGTCGGGGAACAAGGCCATAGCTGATACGGGGACGACGTTGGCGCTGGTCGATGATGAGACGTGTCAGGCAATCTATGATGCTATCCCGGGGGCGCACTACGACCAGGATAGCCAGGGGTATATTTACCCGTCCAACACGACAGAGGACAAACTTCCTGTTGTCTCGTTTGCCGTTGGAGACAAGCAATTCGTCGTGCAAAAGGAGGATCTGGGCTTCGCCGAGGCCAAATCGGGATATGTCTACGGAGGTATCCAGAGCAGAGGCAGTATGACAATGGATATCCTTGGTGACACATTCCTCAAGGGAATTTACGCAGTATGTCTTTGTCTTTATGTTGTGTTGAAGACATCTCGCTAATGGTGGTAGATATTCGACGTCGGCAATCTCCGTTTCGGGGCTGTCCAGCGCAAGGAGCTGCACCAGAATCTGTCTGTTCCTCAGTAACTTGTTGTCTCTGTTTGCAACATGGCCAGAATGAATGGCATTGTTGTTCATTGCAGAGAACAATGCCTTTGTTGAGTTGTCCCGTCCGTTTTGTAGACATATCTTTACTGTCAAAGAATTGTATCAACCAGTCGCATTGTCGTCTTTGTTAGCAATCAAGACATATTCGAGACACCATCGTCTACCCTCCGTAGTGTTTGAAACTTCTTGTTTTTATATTAAGACACTCACATGGACTGGAATATAAATAACCCAATGACATGAAGTCCATCTTCTCATCATCATCATCATCATCAATCACCTCTCCTTCAACAACTCCTCTTTTCCAACTGCTGCTTGCAAACCTTCGCTGCAATCCCTGGTCATCGCAATTACTTCGAAATTCACAATGGTTTGTCAAAATTACACCCCTTTCCAAGAAGAAATGCTAACTCATATCCAGCATCTGCCATTGGAAGTGCGTGAGAAACTCGCACTTCTCCCCGAGTCTCCCTCGCGCGAAGAGTTATATGTCCTGTGGACCCACCTCTTACAGAGGTATTTTCCCTTCCCTCTCCATGCTTCTCTCCCAAACCTGCCCGATCTTCCTGACGAGACCGAGGTGAAGTACGCTCTAGGCAGCCATCAAGAATCCGAGACCTCACACATCTCGCTCACCGTCGGCCGCGAGTATGGCCCCTTTGACCGCCTGAACTTCCTCCATGTCTTCTGCCAGGCTGAGCCGAAGGAGGAATGGCACCTGGCAGAGCTGCAGGCTAAGTTGAAGGAGGAGATGATGAAGTCGTCTCACTGTCAGATTGCACGGGGGCGCGGGATGACCATACACGGCGCGATTGTCATCGGTCGTGAGGTCAGGTTTTACAAGCTGAAGCGTGACGGATCGTTTGAATGCATGGCGTGGTTGGTCCAGGGAAAGCAGAGTCTGCATATCCTCCAGGATATGCGGATTATTACCACCCACCTCATGCAGATAAGCTATGAGGTGAGGATGCGTGATTGATTTTGTGTGGCTTGGTCTGATTTACTTGTTACAGCGCGATTAAGGTACGTCCGTGGTGTCGAACGCGTTCTGCTTCTGTGTTTGTTGATATCTTGAGCTTCCAGATCTGATTGACTGTTGGTTGGTTGCTTGCTTGGTTGACTTGGTCTGGGTGAGTTATGCAACTGTCCTGCATTTTCGGTATATGACTTTGTTGTCTGACTTGAATGATTGATATATCCATTTGGAAGGTCTTATGCAATCTACAATCGTTGAAACAATCATAACTATCGCCGTTGTTTTCCTGTCCGACTCCGTAGATACAGCTATTGCCTGTTCGATGTAAGTGCCATCCTGCCTGAACTCGACATAACCTAACCGGCGGCCGCTACTGTGGATGACCGTACGATACCTAGAAATGATGATCCTCTGCATTTACGTGAAAAGTCCTGAAGAGACAAGTTGACCGCTGTAGACTCTTCACGGATCTTTTCTGCTCCCCATATCCTCCACCCCTCAAGACCTCAAACTACTATTGTATGACCTAGGAGGGGAAACTGGGAAACCCCATTGACCCAGAAGTAGATAAGCCCATTTGACTCCAAATATCATAACCTAAGTTGTTGAGATAGCCCAACATGTCCGTCTTTTCCCCGTAATGTGTCATGTGCAGCCTGACACGGAATCACGGTCCGATCCCTTAAATCCCTCGAGCGCGATTGATGCAAATCCCTCAGGGCGTAATCCGGCTAAATAAGGTAATTTGGCTGTATCCAATCGGGAGAGAGCGCCTGGATCTTATCCTTTATGCAAGGTTTAAATAGATTAGAGTGTGCAGTTTTGCCGTCTCGGCTTATGCTTGTCCTACTTGGCTGAATACTGTGCACAGGGGATTTGCGGGGTAAATATGCCTCTCCGTTCTTAATACGGATAGTAAAGTAGGATATAAATATTGGACAGGTTTCTTCCGAACACAAGGTTGCAACATGGTGGATCAAGTTTGACGGAATGATGCTTCTCCTTGGTATATTTCTGGCCCGGCTTGCGGTAGCTGCCGCGCAGAGCAGCTGTGTCTCGGCTTGGTAAGTCTTCCTCTGGTCAGAGTTTGCATTTGACTAAGAGTCAGGGGTCAATGTGGTGGCGTTTCTTATACAGGGTCCACCTGCTGCCAAAGTGGGAATACCTGCGCCGAGATCAATTCGTACTACTACCAGTGCACGCCAGCAACAGCTGTGAGTGTTCTCGCCATCCAGCTATTCATACTAGCCATAACGCAGAGTAGGCTTCAACCGCCACTGGGACTTCTTCTGGCTCTATTTCATCTTCTGTCAACACTTCAGGCTATACAACGACCACTATTCTTCCCAGTCCTACGGCTACACAGAGCCCTTATCCATCGGCCAATGCCAGCTCATGTGGATCGTGGGCTCTCATTGATAACGTTTGCTGCCCTTACTACTGTCTCTCAAATAATGAATCCGAGTCCTGCACGAGCAGCTGTACCGGTGGCTGCGGCAGCCCTGATTCCTCCATGTGCAAGTCCGGGACAATGTGTATGTTCTCTCCTTCGAACTGTGAGCATGGCTGATAAAACCACAGGGGGAGAGCAACATACCGTAACCTCCAACGAGGACTGGCATTACAGCGTGAGCACCCTACATCATGCCTCAGATTCGTACTGATGACTACAGCGCTCAACACACTTTGGTCTGACCAGCGGCGGAGCCTGCGGGTTCGGCCTGTACGGCCTCTGCACCAAGAACAGCGTCACAGCCAGCTGGACAGACCCCATGCTGGGTTCTACCTGCGACGCTTTCTGCACCGCGTATCCGCTGCTCTGCAAGGACCGCACTAACGTAACACTCCGCGGGAACTTTGCTGCTCCAAACGGAGACTACTACACTCAGGTACGCACACACAAACCCTGAAGCGACAACCGCTAACTAAATAGTTCTGGCCATCCCTGGCTGCATCCGGCAATCCCGACAACTACCTCTCCTGCGGCGAGTGTTTCGAACTCATCCGTACCAAGGCGGACGGGACGGACTACGCCGTTGGTGAGAGCGGATATACCGATCCCATTGTCCTGGAGGTAGTAGACAGCTGCCCCTGCGACGCAAACTCAAAATGGTGCTGTAAGTGGACCCCTTCCCTCAGTCTGACAGAAATCTCCCAAGACCAGGCGGAAGCGGCGCAGACCACTGCGGCGAAATCGACTTCAAGTACGGCTGTCCCTTGCCGGAAGGATCCCATCACATGGACCTCTCCGATATCGTCATGGGCCGACTCCAAGGAAACGGCAGTCTCACCGACGGCGTGATTCCCATCCGCTACCGGCGCGTCCCCTGTCCCAAGCCGGGGAATATCTACATCTGGCTTCATGATGGGGCCGGGCCGTACTTTTTCGCGCTGAGCGCGGTAAATACCAACGGTCCCGGGTCCGTGATTAGTATTGAGGTACAGGCTGGTGGCTCGGGAAGCTGGGTTGCACTCGAGCACGATCCAAACCACACGAGTAGCCGGCCGCAGGAGCGGTATGGCTCTTGGGTCCTCCCGCAGGGCAAGGGACCCATTACTGTGCCTGTTGCGATGAGGCTGACGGCGCCGGATGGGCAGCAGGTGGTTAAGGAGGGGGCAATTACGAGCTTTACTCCGCCGGCGACTGCGGTCAGCGGGTTCTGGTATATTGATCTGGGGGTGCAGTTTACCTAGGTAGATAGGGTGCACCCAGCGCCAGGGACGACGAGCTATGCCCAAGCAGATAGTTGAATAGTGATCCTGTGATTCAAATGGTCCTGGAGGTTGAAATGGCTCTCCCTCCTGAGCCCGCCAAAAGCGGAGAGTTGCTCAACACTATTTCCACCAGCCGATAACGATTATACGGTCTCGTGTTCGAGCTCAGAGATAGGAAGCTGGGCTTATTTCCAAAGCGTGGGCCCGGGGGCACTTCAGAAGGATAAGTTACGCCGGCTCTCGGGATTCCTTGCCTCAAATGCCGGAGGGCTTTGCGGCTCTTGCCCGAATAGGGAATGGATTGACGCTACCAGTAAGACGACGTCCAATAGGCGAGTAGTGATCTACCAACTGTACGCCAATAACAGTGTTTATATGGATTCCTCCCCGCTTGGACTGTACAGACAGAATGCGAGGCTGACTCTGCGATCATCACGGCTGCGCCACCACAGGCACAAGGCAGTGTTCAACCACCCATTCTTCCCGTGTACACTCTATTGTTCGATCACATTGATTTTTCCTGGCTGTACCTCATGTGTCTGCGAGCAGCTTCCTGCTACTTACCTTCCTGAGGGAATATACGTGATCCAGTCGGTTCACTGATGTTGAACATCAACAGAAAAGATGCACGATGACCAAGATAATCAGCTTAGGGAGAGCTTGGTTGAACCTACGAACTCGGCTATCTCCACGCCTGGTTATGACCGTCATCCAGTAGATGATGGCTCTTCCAACCAGCAAGGCGCCGGGAGCGACGACAAGCCCAACCCGCCGAATCCATCTGTCCCCCTGCAACGTTCCGTATACACCGTGCTCTTGACTCTGCTGTACGGAGCCGCAGCACTATACGCTTGGGTCATCATCTGCATCCTCACTGATCGCCCAATTGGTGCAAATAGCTATGGACCCAGCGAACTCGACCGCATTCTCAGTGGCCCTCACCTTGGCACCACCACCGTACCTGAGTACCTCGACGCATTATTCGCCAAGAGCGAGAGGTATCTCAGAGCGGCGAGAACTGTCCAGTCTTTGGTGTCCGTGCTCACCATCCCCTTGACTTCCGCCGTGTGCTCGCAGACAGCCGTGGTGTATATCCAGCGGAAGCGAGGGGACAAGCGCCCGACCCTCAGGCAAAGCATGGCCCTGGCGGACAAGGGATGGACCGACCTTGTACTCTTGAAGAATCTCGTCTTTGGGGGATGGAATAAGTACAGGTCCTCGCTGCTCCTCTTTGCCTTGTTTCTGCATCTCCTAGGTGAGTTTATTGTCCTGTTTCGCTGCACCTGATCTACCTGCTCACCTTCTTTTCTTTTCTTAACAGGCGCTGCCATATCTCCGGTACAGCAGCTTTTTCTCTCGTACAAGACGATCAAGCGTGTCGGGTATCCCGTCAGCCTCACCCAAATCACAGACTTCACTGATCTTTTCCCGGACCGCGGACCTGACATTGGGCTGGATGCCACCAAGCTCAGAGCCACTCTGGTATCGACAGTCAATACGGTGGTTCAGCCGAGACTCTGGTCCTCAGCCAATGGCACCGTCTCCCTCAACGATAAGAGTTATTACACTTATTCGGCATTACAGACGAAATCCCAAAACACCCTCGCCAATATATCCACTATAGCTGATCCATTCTGGGCCGAGCTCCCCACCAGTACCAACACTGGTTTACTTCAGCAGTTCGCTCCTCGCATCAACTCGACGCCCATATGGGAGAACAATTCAGCTGCTATATTTCCCGAAGACTGCAACTCATCGTCTGACGCCTTCTATCTCCACTACGAATATGGACAGGACAATGACGCTCCATTTCAATACGACGTTGAGATCTGTATGCCGGGAAACATGTCACAATCGCCGTGGAAAAACCAATTGTCTCGACAAGATTTCAGCGAAGAGCTGTATTTCAAGATGAACTTTTCGGGAGACGGGGGGATGCTTAATTACGTGCCCAGACCAGGAACATATTGGAGGAAGCTGACGCTCCACACCACGACGGGCTACTTTGGGCTACCCAACTACGCGAATGGCCAAGTGCCTGGGCCGCTGATCGAAAAAAGTCCGTTTGGCAGGAGCCCGCGGAATTTCACCCGTCGGGATCTAGACAACGATACAGCATGGACTACGCTCAACGCTACCCTGAACGTGATCAATGCCGCCAATAAAGGTCCCCTTCTTTACATCGCCATGGCGCTGTTCGGCGAAGGCTCTTTGGCCGACGTGCAACACACAGTCTTGGCAGCATATGCCAACTCCGGCATCGGCTACGGTGGATGTATTGACATCATCCCTTTTATTCCACTTCTTGACGACCCCCACTCCTCCTTTAAGGCATCGCCAGGTAACCCGTGTCTAACAGGCGGTGGTCTAACGGGTAATGGGACCCGTGATCGTGTATACAACGACGACACGATGCATGCAATTGTTGCGGGGTACTTTTTTCTTTTCTCTGGGGACCCTACCTATGGGCCAACCTCGGAAAGAGTACAGAACGCCTTTGCCTCGGCGGCATTTCTAGCCAACGACATGTTCATGACGAACAACTACCACGAGCAGAGTATCGGCATATCATACGATATGGGCGCCGATGTACAAATCCCACACATCTCCCGTGCGGGAATTATCTTCGTCTCGGTATTATTAGGTCTTGACTTGGCATGTCTTCTGGCATTGTCTCTTTATAGCGCGTGGATTCCCCGATGGACTGGGACTCTCGACTCCTTTGCAATGCTGCGGATCGGGGCCTCTATCTCAGAAAAGGTTCCTCTGCTTGCGGCGCGAGATGTCGGCCGCATCAAGATCCTCGACGAGACTCCCGGATGGATGGGGAACGCATCCGATGGGGAGATAGGGCAACTGTGCTTAGGCGGCGAACCGCCACTCGTGAAGACGCGGCGTTACCGCTGTTACGACACCGATCATGGGCCTCAAGCCATGGCGAGGAGAAAATTCTCGCGGCCGATCAAACGACTAGGCTATTCCTTGGCTCCAGGAGAAAGTACGTAAAAGTCATGGCCACACCCCCGCCTGGTATATTGATCTCGGGGTGCAGTTACCTAGGTAGATAGAGCGCAACCAGCGCCAGTGATAATTGGTTATGCTCAAGCAGAGTTGAATAGTGATGCAGTGATTCAAATGATTCTGGAGGTTGAAATGGGTTCCCAATACTCTGCAGTCGCTCATGGCTCTCCCACCTGAACCAGCCCAAAGAGCGGATAGTTGCCCAACGAGTCTGATCTACTCGAGGTCAGTAGCCGTTCTCGCTGGAGCCAAGGTCATGGTTGGGACGTGGGGTACTTCACAAGGAGAAGATACGCCTGCTCTCGGCTATTCCTTGCCTCTACTTCGACTCACCTAGGTGGACTAGCATGAGTGTGAAAAATTACTTACCAATTTGATGATGGCAATGAACCTGAACAATATGTTTAGTTCCATGTGCCCCATGAGCAGAGTTTAGATCTTCCAAAATAATACCCAATAAAGACCATCCTTCTCACACGCAGCTCTCGTTCTACCTCTACGCAATCGCTCTGAGGCGTGTGAATGCCATGAGAAATTGGACCTCATTTCTCCTTCCAATGCACAGTAAGATTTGGCGCTACTGGGGAAGCTAGCTGTAACACTAGAGCAAGCCTGACAAGACAGATCACCTCGTATTCGGAGCTCTCCGATCGACATAAGACTAGACTAGCGTGAATGGACCACGGGGACCGCCGCCAAATAGACTAGCTATGTGGACCCAAAAAGTTCCAAGTTAGGAGTTTGGAACAGTTCGACCCGAGTACACTTCGAATCACGCTCTCCGCGAATCATAGCAACTGGGAGAGTCGTAGACTGTGGCAGCATATTTAGAAGAACCAGACTCAGAGAGTCGCATGACTGTTGACTGCAAGCTGGCTGCTGTGCCGCTCTTTATGATGGTATATGCTGTGTCTATTATGTTGATCACTGTATGCATGTTGGTTGTCATTCAGATGATCTGAGTTTCGATCTGTGGTCTCAGGATCGTCCGCAGAGGGTGTCGTTGAGCAGGCTGGGAGGCACGCAGCCAACTTGTGAAACTATCATGCATAATTTTACGTAAACAAAGTGTAGCTAAGAAATCTTGTGGGAAGGAACGAGCCCGGATATTGATGGATCTGACACTTGAGGAATACGACATAGGCAGACAAAGAGGATGAAGTATTTGGTTTGGCATGTCTTATCCGAACATCGAGCCAATATGCCTACAGGGAAGTTTGCTGCTGTAGCTGCTCTTAGCGCTGGTGTGCATTTTCGGATTCTCTTTTTAGGTACTGAAAGAATTCTAATTGGACCGTCTCAATGCGCATATATGTGGCTGGCTGGAGATACGATATGCGCCTTGCCTGGCATCCCATCACCCCATCCCTGTCACACTGACGAATAGTAGTTTCTGCTCAGCGGTACCAACAGAGGCCTGCTGCTTGCCATTGCTGCATTGGATGTCTTGCCAGAAGCAGAGAAGATAGGCGCAGTGCTGCACTGTTCAAAAGCAATTATTGATAGTATTTGGAATCAACACAAGCCTTCGTACATTGCCAAACTCACAGGGCTAGGGTATGAATTCACCACCACCATAGCCGCCACTGATCGGGCTGAAAGATTCATACATTCGCTCTGATGCTCGAACCTTAGTTCTGGAAGCTACTGCTGGCTGGAATTAATGCGCGTAAATAGGAACCTACCCATAGTCAGAATGGTTCAGTCAATTCAAATGTAACCAATATGGAATAAGATTTTCGAGCGCGACTGTCATATTTGAAATCATTCTTTACTGAGCCTGAGAATGTAACCTGTTATTTGCGAGATCCATTCGGAGTCTGGCTCTTAGCATGCCGAACAGAAGTTACCCCCTACATACAGTAGAATTCCTGAAGAAGCAAAGAAAGACCCCCCTCTACAAATACTATAAATATGGCCGTTAACTTGCTGTCTGATATGAGCACCTATTCGAGGCCTAGTATCTTAATCATTTATTCAGAATTTCTCTTTTCTTGTTGTCCAACTCCCTAATTGTACTTAGGTATCGTTATGGGCTGTACGCCGTTCTTTCCCCTTGTTCTTGTACTCGGGCTCCTCTGTGTGCTTGTTGCAGAGGCTGTTCCTCTTTTGCCAAGTGAGGACCCTTTCTACACCCCGGACGATGACTCCTGGTCAAAATTGCCCCCCGGAACCATTCTGAATTCTCGCAACGTGACAATCGCCTCCCTGCTCCCTGGCTTCCCAAGTAAAGCCAAGGCATTTCAATTGCTGTATGTCACCCGGGACGTGCATAAGCAGCCAGCCCACACAGTCACAACGATAGTTGTCCCTCAAATCCCAAAGTTCAACCGGCTCCTCTCCTTTCAGATTGCCTACGACTCGCCTGACATCAATTGCTCTCCCTCATACGGGATCCAGTTTGGTGTGGACGGTACCGCTGCTACCTGGAACCGCAATCAGCTGAGCTATCTGCTTCCGTACTTGCAGCAGGGTCCGGTTCTGAATATACCGGACTACGAGGGTTCCAATGCCGCGTTTACCGTGGGCCCGCAAACTGCCTACCAGACTCTGGATTCTATCCGTGCGGCACTGAACTCGGAACACCTCACCGGCCTCAGCCCTGAGGCCAGAACGATCATGTTCGGCTACTCTGGAGGCGGTTACGCCACAGAATGGGCCTCTGAATTCCATCCCAGCTACTCACCAGAACTTAAAATCATCGGGGCTGCGATCGGCGGTCCTCCTACTAATATTACAAAGACCTATCTGTCCGTCAACGGGGGGCCAGCCGCAGGGTTAAACGCCTGGGCCATGCTGGGGGTAATGAACGCATTTCCTCACCTCAAGGCCTATATGCTCGACCACCTTCTACCTGAGTACCATGATGCCTTTCTCGGTCCTCTGAAGCGCTGCAGTCCCCGTAGTGAGGATGAAAGCGACCCTCCTCCTCTCAGTAACATGAATATTTCATCCTTCTTCGACAATGGTGACCAGTTCCTATATGAGTTCAAAGATCTTCTCGATGAAATCGGCGTGATGGGAAGACACGGATTCCCTGAGTTTCCGCTATACATCTACAAAGGCACGAATGATGATATTGCACCCACGATTGAAGATACAACTGCTCTGGTGCGCAAGTTCTGTGAGGCAGGCACTAATGTGAGGTATCTTCCGTACGCGGGGCTAGACCATACGACTGCCTTGATTTTCGGTATGCTTCCGGGTTGGGGATGGATGACAAATATCTTCAACGGGATTGAGCTACCAGGCTGCCGCTGGAATGACCTTAACCTTGACGCGGATGGAGGCGAAGGAGATATATTGGAGTATCCTTTCCCTGATCAGGAGATTTTCCAATCCCCTCACTTGGGCGAATTGAAGTAAGAAGACACCACTTGCCTGCCTCAAGAGTAATCTAGTTTTGGATATTGGTATTGACTGAATTTGGCTATTCCCTAAACAATATATCTACATCCTTAAACACTTCATGAACACACATTCATCAAGAGACTGAAGAGGTATGACGGTGTATTTTGCAATTGGTCGACCAATATGCATCCGATTAGATTAGGGGAGTGTATGGAGCTTTCTATCTATCTCAAGAGGTGCATCTTGAAGGTATAGCATGAACAAACTCACTTGTATATACTTCCCCATGATAGAACATGCCAAGACCCATCTTTAGATAGTCTGTTCCTGTGCTCTAAAAGATGACATATCTAGTTCCAGCCTCTTGGTTCACGGGGAAAGTCAAAATAATATCGTGACATCACCACCTTCGTTGATGCCTGCGATGCTGACTATCATCCACCGCCTACTGTATTCTCTGAATGGATAATGGTCGGATGACCATAGTTCTGCTAATGGATCGTGATGATCCATCTGGTCTCCCTTGATATATCGTCCCGCAAATCCGTGGAGACGATGATACAATCAACGTAACCTACATCCAGACTACCTGAATTATGAGTGACACTATTATAACCAGATGTGACGACCTTCCAGCCCCGAAAGAGCTGGCCGAAGCCTACGAGCTCGAACTACAATCCCAAAATGGCAAGCCGATCCGGTTTGGAGAGCTAGTTGCGGGAAAAGGAGGCCAGATCACAACGATTGTGATTTTCAGTATGTCTCGTCTCTCTTACTTACGCCGCCCTACTAGCCTTCTCATCTACTGACCATTCTCAAGTCCGCCACTTCTTCTGCGCCTATGATCAGGACTACGTCCGTGTAGTCTCGCGGCGTCTCACCGACTCCGTCCTCGCGACGCTCCCCAGCCCCACCGGCCCATCACAGCTCATCATGATCGGCTGCGGTGACTCTCAACGCATCGTCCCTTATGTGTCGGAGACAGAAGCCGCGTTCCCCATCTACACGGACCGCACGGGGAAGATCTACGAGAAGCTGCATATGAAGAGGACGAGGTCGCAGATGACTCAATCGCCCTCTTATGCTCAGATCTCGTTCATCAGTGCGCTTGGAAAGGCATTCAGACAGATGTTTTGGAGTGGGTGGCAGGCGTTTCGAGGGGGTAGCTGGGGACAGAACGGCGGCGAATGGGTCTTTCGAGGAGGCAAGTGTGTTTATGTCCATCGGATGAAGCATGTCTCGGATCATTTGACGGCGGATCAATTGCTTGAGGTGCTCAGCCATGATGAGCCGGCTGAAACAAAGTAGTGAGAATGTGTGAGCTACGAGTGTTGGGTTACAGTTCGGCCGAGTGCATACAGTCCTGGAGAAGGGGCACATTTACCTGTCAACCTGCCATTTGCAGTGGATACCCTGATTAGGAGGTTTTCTTTATTATTTATGGTGTCCCCCATTTGAATTTATATATCTGTTCACGGAAGCTTACGTCCCATTCCCTATGAGTGATGGAATGACTAACATAGAGGAACTATGGGGCAAAATAAGTGCTTGCTATTTCAGGTCGGGCGTATTTTGTTCTCTCGTGTCACATGGGCGCGGGGTATGCAAAGTGCCTAATCTATCCCCCACAGTCGATCTAATGTTTTTGTAACCCAACAAAAAGGCCCGGTTAGGAGTGCAAGATGGGCAAGGAACTCTCGATACTTTGTTTTGGCGACTCCCTTACAGCCGGATACTACCATTTTGGATGCGACTACCATCCATACGCCTTGACACTGAAAGATAAACTGCAGGCAGCCTTTCCCACCACCACATTCACCGTCGACGAGGACGGCCTTCCAGGCGATTTGGTCATCAGCCCTGCCGGATTTCTGCCTCGAATCCAAACAAAATGTGTGTCGACTCCATTATCTTTCTTGCAGTGCTGAGTCTGACTATTACAGTTGACATGGCCAACTATGACTGGGTTATCATTCTAGGGGGAACAAAGTATGTTTGCTTCGTCCTGACGGCTAAGAACCTGCTGCTAATATCAGCAGTGATCTCGGGAGAGGCTATCGCGCTTCGAAGATATACCCTGCCCTACAAGAGGTGTGGGAGGTAGCTCTCCACAACGGCGGAAATGTTCTCGCCCTGACTATTCCTGGATGTTCGGTTGTCAGTACGAAGCTTGACACGAGGAGAAACGAAGTGAATTCGTCCATACTTGCTCATAAAGCGGAGGGATTGTAAGTTCAATAAAGCTGAGAACACTGCGAAGCGGCTAATCCTGGGATAGTCACGCATTTGACCTGCATGGCAAACTCCCGTATCACGACGCCACAGAGGAGTTCAGGGAGAAGATCTGGGATGATGGGCTGCATCTAACTGCCGAGGGGTATAAGCTCGTGGGTGAGGTGGTCGGTGAGCATTTGATTGCGCTGCTGAAGGACAAAGGTTTATAAGGAGAGTGCCAGAGGCGCAGTACCTGCATTAACCCTATGGCTGAGATAGAAGTGGTACTCCCGGTTGGAACGCGTAACTGATCAACAGTTCCTATCTTGTATCGTAGATTTTTGTATAGTTCCCTAGAGCCAGTAGTCTAAATCACTGACCAGACAACAGCTGCCTCTCTATATCAGATGCCACGCATGCCTACCCTGCCGCAAAGCCAATCACGATAGCGACCCTTGCCCGATAGGAAATATGGGGCTTCAGTCGAATTCCATCTCACTTCATTGATATCTAAGGCCCGTTTGAGGCGGGATCTCTAGCCCAAAGATGGATACACGTGTAGAGACATAATATGTTGATAGACTCGTAAGTTCAACTGGTGTAAGGATGGTTCGGAAGACCCAGCAAGGGTTATGATTCAACTGATGGAACAGAAGGCATCCTGCATTAGCCCATTGAGTAAAATTAGTCATAACCCCACTGAGGATCTCCCTGTAATCGACCATACGTTGGCATTCTATCTCAGAGATATGTTACACACGGACTATGTATGCAATAGGAATATCTTCTTCTTTAGCCTTTGCCAAAATGACTATATACCATGCGTATATCACATAAGAGTATCTTGTGCATAAGGACAAAGGAGCTGCTTTGCCCTACCCTGGTTTCTAATTGAGCAGCCATGTCAGCTACCAGGAAAGACGTCCGCGACACAATATGGCCCAGGAAAAGACACTTGCCCATGGTATCAACGCAAAAATGGCGCCCATAACAGCCCCTTCTGGTAGATTCTGGCCGCACAATATCTGGCTGTTCCCTTTCTAGACTAACAGAATCCCCCAGACGCAAATCCACTCGCCATCCTGTTCTGCTCTAACCTCAGCGCTCTCATGTCAATCGTCGAAACATCGATGCAGAAAAATGGCAGCGACTTCTCCTGGAGCCAGGATGCACGAGGCTTCAAGGCGGTCATGGAGGACAGAGCCTCTGTGCGAGTCTTATGAATTGTTATATTGCCTATACTATACTAAACCGAATGGCAAGCAAGTATACGAAGCCATCCCTAACTCAGCTCCACCTGAACCTCCTCAAAGACCAACACAGACATAGTAGCCCAACCACAAGTTACTGCACGCGGCATCAAGCCCCGTGTTCCACTCCCTCAGCTGTGCAAGCGTAATCCCCGCCTCGGTGTAGATAGACCAGCAGCTGTCCCCACTCTCGACTTCACACGGACCTCATAACGCTTGCCAATGCTCAAAGCATCGGATACCCCGGCTACTACTCCGTACGGTTAGTTCCCGGTGGAGCAAGATACACAAGTCAGGAACCATTCTGCGCGGATTGGCCGACGGACCTCAAGGAGCCAAGCTAGCAAAGTCTACAGGGCTAATGACTCAATGAGTGTACCTTTGTCCGCAGCGCCAAGCCTTGGCAGTCAAAAGACTCAAAATGAGGCCGTTCACTGCTCTTGGCACCCATTCTGGGCGCGCAGTCTCGCTGTTTCAGTGTTTAACTGGAGGGATGCGAGGATTCAGCCTAACCTGCGGTACCTAAAGTACTGTTAGTAGGTGGTGCATGACTCTCTTTGCCCATCCCTGCCGTAGAAAAGGTCAGTTCCCAATGGCCCATCGAGTAGCCTCGGCGGCAGGGATTGGGAGATTACCGGCCTAGTGCCCCTATTTTATTTCCTCTGCCAACGCACGTTCATTACAAATATTCTCATCCGCCTTGCCCGCTGCTAGATCCTCGCCGTTCTCAGAGTGGAAGGAGAACCCTTTTCTTTCTCATTTCCGACCTCGGCCTCAGCTATGCACTTTCCCCAAGTGAGGTGGCTCGTAGTCGCCATAGTCTCAACTGCGCACGCAGTCGAAGTGGACTTGGTCTTCCCTCGCAACGAAACATATTCACCAGCCGAATGGTTCCCTATTGTCTTTGCTGTGCAGAACCCGCAGAGTGCAGAACTCCTCAACCTGCGCATCTCCTATGACATCCGCAAGGACACTAACAGAAACAATCAGACCACCCTAAACCACGATCTGCGCTGGGCGAACTGGTCCAGCAGCGCAGACCCTTACCTGGCATACCAGTACGTCCGGGACCTCAACACCACGGGAATTTGGATCGTGACCTGGGAGCTCTACTGGCAAAGCTGCGACGAGGAGGCGCTGGCCAATGGTGGTGAACACGACGGGGTCTTCGAACACTACTACTCCTGGTGGCAGCACTTCACCATCGATGATTCCGCTCCCAAAACAGTGGATCTCATCGCGGCCACCGCCAACGCCACCTGCCCCGAAGACAGGAACGCGGTTGCGATCAATGTTAACGACACAACCATGCATTCCCCCCCAGGTGTGAACGCCGCGGGCCGCGACACTTGCGTCGTCACGGCCAACTCGACTGCTAGTGCCACGCGCACCACCCCGGACCCCTGTCGCGTCGCTATCGACGCTGATTCCGCGGTGAGTATGGCTGCCGTTCACCAGAAACTGCTCTGCGATCGTCTGATAAACCCTAACCCGCCTGAAGACTGTCCTGCGGAGGAGAATGGTGCTCAGCAGTTGGCTGCACTTGGTGTACCTTGCTTCCTAGCTGCTTTCGGTGTTGTTGCGTTTGCGCTCTTGTAGATGGATACTTTTGCTTATGTTGGATCCAGCCCAGCCTTGCTTTGCTTTCCTTGTACTTGCCCCTATACCTTTTGTACACGCCTCCCGGAACACAACCGCTTTGACTAGGCAGTTACAAGGGCATCCATAATCGACAGCATAGCAAGTAGTCGCAACATGAGCTCTCCCCAGGCGGACCAAGGTCCTCCACGCGAAATACCCACCACGCCACTATGTAGTCTAGACGAGCTGAGTAGAGTAAGTGGGCCTGAATTCATTTCATGTATGCAGGCCAAGCCCTGTATCTGTAGGTCCATGTACATGTACGGAGTATACACGCCGGGTGCGCCCTTGGATGAAAAAGGCATCCCTTCCCGCAGCCCAAGCCCTATAATCCAGACCAATTCCTCAACCATACAGTACCTGACATTCACATCCCAGAACTCCATCCGAATTCACCAATCCCGGTTGGATACCCAAGTAGTCAGTAGTTACTACTTCGATAGTACTAAATAGTTGTAAGTCGTTTCTTGGCAAATGATACCCTACTCGGCTCCACGGCACGGCGTACTCTGTAAGTCGCCAGCCCTTACCGTACAGAAAACGCCCTAAAGCGCTAGGTGATAATGCGCATCAGCCCGAACCGAAGCCAGAGGCTAGTTAAATTAGCTGCTTAGGTAGTCCCCTGCACCAAGGCCTTCCCCTGCATAATGCCCTAGTATGAACACTACTCTAACCACCTGACCTGGGCCACCAGGCTGAGGCACATCGATCCTCCCTATTTGCCTGGCACCGGTCCGTGCTGGACGGAAGTAGTCCGAATTTCCAGATTCAGAATCGAGACACAGACTCAACAAACTATAGTGCATACTAGTGTGGATTATAGATTGTGGAGGCTCGAGTGTTGCAGCCTCCGTCTATTGCCAAGTCAGTCCACCTAACTAGGCTTGAACAGTGTAGTTACAAAGTACCTACTACCGGTCAATGACAACAAGGTAGTCTACCTAGATAACCCCCACCCTCACGTAAAGGTCGCAATCAGATGCTCGCTTGGCTCGGCGGGGGATATCTTCTACGCTACTGTAGTCTGCCACTGAGTCAGTGCCCGAGAGAAATTGCGCCAAGGATTGTTAGGAGATTGGCGTACAGCATACCATCACTGGCATTAGGCTGATAATACGCTAGGTATGAAAGGCTTTGATGTATTTGGCTTGTATTTGTTTCCAACAGTGCTATTGGGCGTGAGATGAGCTGAGCTGAGACTGTGAAGGAAGGGAATGAGTGAGTAGGGCTCCGAGATTCCCAGTGGCTCAAGCATATGTATGTAGTATAAATCGCCTCTGGGGGCGTTTCAATCGTCCCAGGTTGATCTGCGCTTCCACCAACGCTCTTTACTCCCTTCACAACCTGTACGCTCTTTTCTTTCCTACCAATAAAGACATTCTTTTTTTTTTTTCTACTTTTTGTTCTTTTGATTTTTGTTTCCATGGTGGCCTTGACCTGGCTCGGCGCGGCAGCAGCCCTCGTGCTCTCCACATGGCCAACTGCAGCCTCTACAAACCCGGGCTTCCGCAAAGCGGCCAGTCCGAGCTACCGCAGCAGTGCCTCGGCCTGCCCTGAGCGCTGCAGCGACGCTGGTCCCAACACGGGAAACTGGTCCGTGTACGCGGACTTCAAGCAGATCCACAAGTGCAAGGAGACCATGTTCTACGACTTCTCCCTGTTCGACGATGTCGATGACCAGAACGGAACCCACCGCATCCAGGCCTGCTCATCATATGGGCCAGACTTTGCCAGTCTCCCTGCCTCCACTGCGCGGATTGCTTCCGCCGAGTTCGTTGATGTTGTGTTTGAACTCGGCTGGTGGCATGAGGGGTTCGGCCTGGCGGCTGCTGGACTGCGGTCGATTGTTAAGCAGATGCGCCGGTATGCCGAGGGTGGGCATGGGCGGACGGACAGGCCGTTTATCATCTATGGCCAGTCTGTACAGGCAACGATTGGCCTGTATATTGGGCAGGGTCTGCTGAATCAGGGGCTCAGCGAGTCTGCGCTGAAGCTGTTCCAAGATAACCTTGACAAGCTCGAGGTCTCCACGCCAAGCCTGGCCATGCAGCTCTGCGAGGAGGGCTACGATAGCACGCACGTGTTTGGTATCATGGCGACCAGCAATGGGACCTTCGCCCCCATCCAAAGTACCATCAAGGCTTGGGCCAACGCAACGTGCCTGTCGTTCTCGGGGTCCACCAAGTTCGCTGGCTCGGCCAAGTTCACTACGCCGCTTACTGAATGGGAACCACACGACCTCCAATTCAACTATCCTGGCTCACAATCTGGCTCGAAACCTCGTTACCCGGGCCGACGGCGAGTGTAGGACTGTACAGGTTGACGCTGGCACCGGCTGCCCAGAACTGGCAGTGAAATGCGGCATCTCGGGTGCCGACTTCACCAAGTACAACCCTGGCGAAGGTTTCTGTTCCAACTTGAAGCCTAAGCAGCACGTCTGCTGCTCCAGTGGAGATCTTCCTGATTTCCGCCCCCAGCCCAACGAAGACGGCTCGTGCAAGGCATACCAGATCCAGGCCGATGACAACTGCGACAGCCTTGCTGCGGAGTACAGTCTCGAGGAGGAAGATCTCGAGAAGTTCAACAAGAACACTTGGGGCTGGAATGGTTGCGAGATTCTGTTCAAGGATACGGTCATGTGCTTGAGTGCATGGTACGCCACCCTTCCCTGCGGAGATCCCCAATGCAGTGTGCGGTCCGCAGGAGCCAGGCACAAACCCACCAACGGATGGCTCGGACATCGCCGATCTCAACCCTTGCCCGTTGAACGCATGCTGCAATATCTGGGGCCAGTGCGGTATCACCGCGGACTTTTGCATCGATACCAACACCGGCGCCCCAGGCACTGCCAAGCCAGGCACCTACGGGTGTATCTCTAATTGCGGGATGGATGTCGTCAGGGGCTCTGGATCAGGCGGGGTCAAAATCGCCTACTATGAAGGCTACTGCCTGAGCAGACAGTGCCTGTTCCAAGACGCCTCACAGATCGATACCTCGCAGTACACGCACCTCCACTTCGGCTTCGGCACCCTGACTGACTCGTGGGACGTCAAGACCGGCGACGTGCTGTCCACCTACCAATTCGGCGAGTTTAAGAGAATCTCTGGCGTCAAGCGGATCCTCTCATTCGGTGGCTGGGACTTTTCAACCATGCCTGAGACATACCAGATCTTCCGCAACGGTGTCAAACCTGCGAACAGGCTCACGATGGCAACAAAGATCGCCAACTTCATCAAGGAAAATGACCTCGATGGTGTCGATATCGACTGGGAGTACCCCGGTGCGCCTGACCTCCCTGACTTCGACCCCGGTACAGAGGAAGACGGTCCCAACTACCTGGCCTTCCTTGTCATTCTCAAGAACCTTTTGCCGGGAAAATCCGTCTCCATTGCCGCTCCTGCTTCTTACTGGTACTTGAAGCAGTTCCCTATTAAGGACATTGCCAAGGTCACCGACTACATTGTCTACATGACCTATGATCTCCATGGGCAGTGGGATGCCCATAACAGTAACTCCCAAGGCTGTGCCACGGGTAACTGTCTGCGCAGCCAGGTCAACCTGACAGAGACACGACAGTCATTGGCAATGATCACCAAGTCAGGTGTTCCTGGCGAAAAGGTTATTGTTGGTGTGACAAGCTACGGGCGATCCTTCAAGATGGCGGACGCAAATTGCTGGGGCCCCGACTGTTTGTACACGGGCGACCGCTTGAATTCCAACGCGAAAAGGGCAAATGCACTGGCACAGCTGGGTACCTTGCCGATGCTGAAATCGCCGAGATCATGAAGGATTCCTCTCGAGTCGTCAAGAGCTATGTCGACACAACCAGCAACAGCGACGTCCTCATTTATGATAATGATGAGTGGGTCGGCTACATGGGCGCCGCCACCAAAAAGGCGCGCGCCTCCTTGTACGCTGCCTGGGGCTTGGGAGGCACCACTGACTGGGCCACCGACCTGCAAACGTACCACGATGTCCCCAAGCCGGCGTACAGCTGGACCAACTTCATCGAACTTGCCAGGGCCGGAGGGGACCCAAAGACGGACCACACGCGGAACGGGAACTGGACTGACTTTGACTGCACAGCCCCGGCCGTTGTGGACTTCCTCGACTACACACCCTCGCAACGGTGGAGGTTGATGGGCGCAGACGCGGCATGGGACGACATTGTCCGGATTTGGAAAGACACCGATTCTCAACGCGGTGGTGTTAATTTCAGCGAGTCAGTCGAGAGTACCACCCGCTTTGGGGGTCAGGCGGGCTGCGGTGTCATGACCACTGCGGGCTGCACCATCGTGGAGTGCGAAAAGGGTGCAGACAGTGACACCTCGGGCCCCGCGGCCATGTTCATCTCGAACTCGTTGGCGGAAATCCATGGAATGTACAAGAGCTACTACGACACCTTGTTCAAGGCTCTCACCATTGTCAGCACGGCGCTCGACGATATGGAGAACAAGTTTGCGCCTATCCCGCCGGAAAAAGACGACACCTGGCTCTTGATCCTCATCGACGTGATCACGCTTGGCGCCCTGGGAACTGCTGGTCCGTTTTTCAACACGATTCTGAAGAAGGACGATTGGTTTGCTGGGAAGACCGGCAGCGCCCTGGATAACGCAAAGGATACCGCCATGACCCTCATCGGACAAAGTACAACTATCGCCAAGGACGCCTTACCTGGAGGGGACGCGGCTAAGTGGACTCCGGAGAAACAGGATGAGTTCTCAGCCTATCTGGGGCAGGTCGTCTATGGCTGGGCAATATTACGTCGCTTGCGCTGAAAGACCTCTTCAGCGGATCCGACGTGGCGATTGACGCTCTCTGGCAAGCCATGTCTGATGGAAAGCTCATCAATGGTAAGAAGGAAGGCGACCTCCCCACGACGGGAAATGAACAGAATGAGCTGCTCGCCAACATCAACAAGTGTATCATTGGCTTCGCCCTCCCCGCCCTGTGGCGACAATCTGGCTCGTACACATTTATTATCGACGCGGGTCACGCTTGTAATGAAGACAAGGATCTCAGCGACTACCTTGACAACGACACGATGGGCGCCACGGGTGTCTGTGTAAACAACTGGCAGTACTACCTGGCGTATCCGGACGGCGATGCAACAAAATGCACCTGCGAGCGCGTCACCGATGTCGGCCCCTGTCAGACAATCTGCAGAGACCAGAAGTTCTCTGCGCCCAAGGGAATCGAGTACATCCCCGACGGGCATAACTACAACGGCATCACGAAGACCGAGCTGGTCAAGGGCTCCGTCCGCACCTGGATCGGAAATGGCAGGGAGAACGGCGCCAAGGTGGGAGACCCGACCAACGAGGGCACCATGTCCGACCTGATGGAGGTCGACGTCACGAGCCCCGGCTTCATGCGGATCCCTGTCTGCAGCCCCGAGCGCGCCTTCCAGTCCTGGGACACGGCCAACAAGGACTCGAGCCCGAACTGGCCCTGCGATATCCCGCCGGGCAAGGACGAGTGCGGGGACTCGACCTTTGTGGACCAGACGAGCGACGCATCGCCCAAGGTTGAGGACTGCCGCCAGGTCATCAAGAACATCGAGGGTGATGGCAGCACCGGCTGGATCACCCAGGTTGTCGGCCATAACCAGCGCGAGATTGCCAGTCATGCAAGCTGTCATTTCGGCGTCGAGGCTACCAAGACTGACGGCAACGTCAACTTCAAGGCCGGCGGCCAGGATGTCATTGATATCATCAACAACGCTATTGCTCAGTTTGGTAGGGATGGGGTGATTGGTGCAAAGGGTGATATGAATTGCAACGGCAATATAAAGAGCCAGCCGGTTCTGTGGGGGATGTACTAGGAATATAATATCGGAGTAGGAGATTGTTCACAATCGTCAAGTAGCACCAACATTTATGTCAGAGCCATGCCAACATAGACTGGACTTTTTTGTGGGAGAAAGGGTGATAATTGTATCTGATTACTGTGCATCAATTCAGGAAGGTTTAAGAATAACAGAAGTCACTCCTATGCATCTGCTTAAATCTTCGGCAACTTTCGACCTGGACTTTCAATCTGCTCGTCATGCGACCCTTTCCATGATAGCCTGCTAAACTACATTACTCAACTCATTTAGGACGAACGGATTCCACATTCGCGCTTAATAGGACCCTTCCAACATTTATACAGTTTGTCTATCCGAGATTTGACCCATGATTAACGTCCTGCACCACCATCAGCAAAACTGAAAACCCTCGCCACCGTGACTCTGCATACCGTTTATCGAGGCTGGAATTTGTGAATTAAGCCAGAAGAAAAACGGGCTGCCAAAGGGCTTACTGTCTATCATTTGCCAGTCGACACTAGAAGCAGGTGTCGTGATCGGAAAGCCTTCAGTGTCGTCGTTTGCCATAGACCAATTAGTCAACACCGTCGCACCGAAAACGGGGAATTGAATGTTGAAACGGGTGCGACTCCCTGAACATACAATCATTAGGCCGCAGTCTAGAGTAAAGTATGGAAGCTATGCTCCTGCACTTACCTTCAGGGTCCGGACAGACGGGACCATCATGAAATGATGCCGGCGGAACGCGCAAAAGCAAAGGGTTTGTCTCGTCATTTGCACTGTCACTAATGATACAATTGCGGTTTTCGAGAATGACCCTCAGAGCTCTCGCTGCCTTCTGTACCTCTTTCGAAGAGCTGCTCGAATGAACCCAGATGTCGTATGTTTTTTGGAGTGACGTCCAGATGGTCGCCTCGGTTACGACGCCTGCGTCTCCTTTACTTTGCGCACCAGCTCGCTGTATGTAGGAGCACAGAATGCTAGTCGCGAGCAGGAAATTATGGTTAACCAGAGAGGAAACTCGCCATCGCTCCTGGTACAATCGGCAGAATGGCTGCATCTCTTCTTCGAGGACGTGCTGGTAGTCGAGAAGTTTGAGCGCGGCATCTAGACATGCCTGCTAAGAGTAGTCATTCTGCGTGTCTGCTTGCCACCTATAGATATCTCTGGTGCAACACAATTCGCGCACGGTGGAACATAATCTCCAGGAACACCTTTTGCATGATCACTTGCGGTGATTCCATGATGCAGTTGGCCATAGAAACCCACTGGAGACATGGTGGGATTGCGCTATGGCCATCTTGAAGCATGCTATCCATCTTCATTATCTCCGTGTAGGGACATTGCCTTGTGTCAGTCACAAGATCCCACACGGAGCCAATTGTTGTCATTGTTCTTGCCTTCACAAGACGGTACAGCATGGGAGTGAGTTCGGTCTCGGGACGCGAAGCTGGCATAGCAACTGTGTCTCAATCCAAATCTTTGATGTGAAGGTTCGCGGGCCCTCTTGTGTCAGTTTGCCAATGCTTACTCAGTCGAGGAAGGCCCATTTGAGTAGAGATTCCAATGTCAAGCTCAACGACCGTAGCCCAGACGCGTTTGCACATCTCCGCTGTAAATGGAGACATGCTGGGGAAATGATGCGGATCCCGGTGGTAGCCCATATGCATTGCCAGCTGTACTATCATCCCCAGGAGCATCCATACCCCGATCTCAGCGTCTCTCCGCAGAAATACCTCCACGGCAATGTACAACATAAGCGTCTCGGGCACATATGGCCCAATACGCAGGCTGGCGCTGGACGCTTCGGATCATTCTGATATTGGTAAGGGGAATTGTCTCTATGTATGATATAATCCTAACCAAGTTCACCATCAGTCCGGAGCCCTTGGTATTGCCACCAGCGTCTGTATGCGAGAGACAAGCGCGGTTGTCTTGCTGAATCGCAAAAAGGCTGGGAATGTCAGGATAGCCGAGACCAAAAGGAACAACAGGAGTCACCCTCCCAAATGCTCTTGCATGCCCTTACACGTCCCGTGAAGCTGTTAGTCTTCTCGCCAATCCTCCTCTTATCTCGCTATACACTGGCATTATGTTCGGCCTCATCTTCCTACTTCACCACGTTCCCTTCGGTATTTCAAGGGGTGTACGGATTCGACGCTGGAACTTCCGGATTGGCCTACCTCGACATGTTTCTCGGTCTGATTCTCTTCTCCATTCTTAGCGACAAGTTTTTGGGACAGACGCAAGGCGGAGTCGCCGTCCAGCCTGAACAACGCCTTATCTTGATGAAGTGGCTTGGTCCTATCGCCCCATTTGGCTGCTTCATGTATGGCTGGAGCGCACAGTATCATGCACACTGGATAGTGCCAATAATCGGGACTTTTATTATCGGCTTTGGCTCTTTATTCGTCGTCATCCCAGGCCAGATCTATTTCGTTGATGCCTTTGGGACGACGGCGGCAGCGTCCACCCTAGCGGCCAACCTCCTCATCCGATCGCCCTTTGGTGCCTTTCTGGATCTTGCTGCCGCGCCTCTGTATGATACTCTGGGACTGGGCTGGGGGGATAGTGTGCTGGGGTTCATCACGCTGTCGTTCATGCCATTGCCGTGGTTGTTTTACCGCTACGGCGAAGCTTTGAGGACTCGTTTTGCGGTTGACAAGTATATTTAGTGGGATTATTCACTCTCTTTTGGGGAATTGATTCGAATAGAAAGTCTCAAAAGATATCTTGTCCTTGGATGTCTCAGAGTTGTGAAATAAGATGTTTCAATATAGCAGGACTGTTTGCCTCCTTGCTCCTATGCACTGACTTGCCCGGATTGCACAAATATTATATGGTTACGCAGTCCCCATCGGAGACTATCTATTTTATTACCCTAGCAGATAACCTTCCACATTCGCCGTCCATTATCCTCATAGCCAAGCGGGTAATCCCGGTTGTCGATAGACTCTGAACAAAGCACACTGCGTATACCAAATACAGTGTCTCGCCAGGAAGACGCATGAAATAAAGTAAACTCGATCCCCATGACAAGCGTTATCTGCATTTGCCTTGTGTCTCAAACTATCTCTTGGAAATAGGGACGGCCAGTTGCCAATGTGTATGGCTTAGTCCCCAGTGGGGTCCCGTGTTCGTTTTGCTTTACCACTTTGGGACGCCGACTGGTGGGAATTTGGGTTGAAGTTTCAATTATTGATTAGTTACTATCCATCTAGATTCATGATAATAATTTTCATGTATATATAAACAGTGGACATCACTGACAGTCGGGCTCCCTGTAAAGTGAGCTTGCCTGGCCAAAAAGAAACAACCGCTATGGATACTATACTTTCAAAGTACTACAATAAGACCCCTAGACCGTTTCACGCCGGTGCACTGACCGCGTACAATGCTCAAGGAGATCTAATTTGTTCCAGCATTCAAGGCACCCAGACCGCGGACCCTGCCGGCCCTGCAGTCACCGAAGATTCAATCTTCTGGGTCGCGTCCTTGACCAAAATCGTCACGGCCGTCGCTGTCATGATTGTCGTTGAGCGAGGCTTGATTTCACTCGATGATGATGTCGGCCATGTTGTGCCAGAGCTCACGACGCCAGAGGTCCTGTCTGGATTCGATGAAGATGGTATTGTCCTTGACGGGGATTCCCCGTCGTCTGATGGATCTCCATTGCTGACAACCTTCCTCCTAGGAAAACCCATCGTTTATCGGACGGAGAAGAAGCTCACGTTGCGTCATCTCCTGACGCATACAAGCGGCTTCACATATAGCGTGATGAGCGATAATCTGCAGAAGTGGGCCGCGTATCATGGGAGAAACATCGACCACACACAAGGAACTTATGTACTCAGCTCCATTTCTCCAAATTCGGCTGATAAGGGATCTGACCAGAACCGTCATCTGACTGTAGGAGTCAATCACATATCCTCTTATCTTCGAACCCGGTGAGGATTGGAGATACGGGCCCGGAGTCGACTGGGCAGGACGAGTGGTAGGTCTCTGGCCGCAGCATTGAATTCAGTACTGCATCTAACCAGGGCACATAAAGGTCGAAGTCCTCTCCGGGAAGAGACTCGGGGAATTTATTCACGAGAACATCTGCGGGCCATTGAATCTCCAATCTACCACCTTCCACCCGGAGACACTGCCCGACTTCGAGAAGAGAAAAGTGGAGATAGCCCTCCGCGACGGAGACGGATCCCTAAATCCAACCAAAGAGTTATTCCCCCTTCCTACGCCGGATGACCTCGGCGGCGGGTCACTGTATTCCACACCGCGCGAGTTGACCAAGTTTCTATCAACTCTTCTGGCAGGAGGTCGAGGAATCATCAAACCCGAAAGCGTGGATGAGATCTTCCGGCCTCAGCTGCCGGAAGCTGTGAGGATAAGGTTGAACCAGCAGATTAATATGCCAGAAGCGCGAGCAATGAAATGGTTCTTCACGACAGGTGATCAAATCGACTTTGGGCTGGGCGTCGCAGTCACAGTCGGTGATGTTCCGGATGGTCGTGCACATGGGACAGTTTCGTGGGGGGGACATACCAATACTCATTTTGTAAGTGACTTTCTTGTCTCCTGGTCGAAGGAAGGCTGAGCACTGATGAGACGGATAATATCAGTGGATCGACCGGACGACGGGAATATGTGCGACGAGCTTCTTCCAGCATCTTCCTCCGTCGGATGCCCAGGTGATTGCGCTCCGGGATGAATTTGAGACAGAGCTGTATAGGCAGATACGGCATACAAAGCCGTGAGCTAGGGACGCCACGTTACTATGACTGTTCATCTCGATAGGGCCGCATTGCGTATTAAGCTGGGCTATAGTCGTCTACTTATGTGGAAGCATGTTTAGAAATAGATATTCGGTCCGAGGGACCTTACGACGAGTGGCGACCGGTCCTTAGTAGGCATATCACTTACAGGTAACCGGCGCCTAGTCCCATGACTACATCAACAAGCACACATTCGTCTAAAGTCTCAACTTCCGAGCGTGCGGTCTAAGATGGTGTTGAACTTGATGGGAATCCGAGATCCAATACCGATCATCGTTTACACTCTGGATGGACCAACCATGTCCGGGTGATAGACAGATCACTACTTATTCAGAGATGGCACTCTCTTGAGGAAGCTGGGATTGTCTCGGAATTCCTTTTGGGGTCTCTAGTGATGATGTCTCTGCGATTTGCAGCAGTGTCTCCACTTGCCCTCTCGGTGGTTGTATTGCCCACATGGTATCGTAAAGCCAAGTCTCCAACTAGCTTGTTGATACTTGAAGGATATTAAGCATATTCTCAGACGAGGATATCCAACTAGCAGTATTCGCATGATTGGTGCTTACCCCGCTGCATGTGAGACATCCTTAGCATGAGACATCACCGGTCGCCATCAATTTCAACTCTTCCTTCATCTTCTTCTCCATCCACCTCAATTGTTGTTAGAGATTTATTCACAGGCCTATTTCATCCAAAAACTAGTATTATCCATGGCGTTCACGCGCGGCATCTTTCCTCTCTATGCGCACGTCCATCATGGAATAATAGCCCGCCAACAGGGACTCCGCAGATGCCCTCAACCCATCGCATCCTTCTCGACCCATTTTGCTGTCGCAAACAAGCAGATCGGCTCTCAGAAAGGCCAGTCGCAAGACCCTCATCCGCAGGATCCAGAAATCCCATCCTTCAGTTTCGACTCTCTCGGTCTGAGCAGGACTACCAAGACCGTTGTCCTCGTCATCCTCGGTATCTTTGGTACTATCGAAAGCTGGTTCTGGGTCGAGACGATTTGGCGCTGGTGGAAGAGCGACGCTGAGGATACAAAGTAAAGCCAGAAATCATGTTGGGAACTGGCTGCAGTACCTGGCGTTTTGTACGATAGAGAGGACCTGCCATATTATACATCTCCGCTCACCACGATAACAATTTGATATTCGTTCAAATTGACCACTACTATGAGTCATGCTCACTTACATCTAGATATCAACTCGCTTTGGATAAACGATCTGCAGCTTGACTTTAAATACGAGTACGGAGTGAGTTATCATCATCATATCTGCCAAGCCGGCCATTCCCTCCAATCAAGGACCGTGAGTCACTATCGTCAATAAACACGATACTCCCACATTTATAAGCACCTGGATTTCCCGTTGATGAGTCCATCAGCATAATTCTTCTTGGCCAGGTCAAACACAAAATGACCAAATTAACTCCTCCTATCCCTACCCAAACATGGACCAAAGGGCCGTACTTCATCTCGACGGACTCCTCACTTATCCCCCTCGAAACCCTCAACGACTGGTTCGCATCAGACGACCTATACTGGGCAAAGGCACTGCCCCTAGATATCCTAAAACAGTTACTTGAGAACTCCCTCTGCTTCGGCCTCTACTACACACCCGACCAGCCAGACAAAGCCAGCGCAGGTCCCGAGTTCGTCGGCATCGCCCGCTTCATCACAGATTACACCACCTTCGTCTACATCACCGACGTCTACGTGCACTCCAGCCACCAGGGCAAGGGGCTGGGCAGTTGGCTTGTAGAGTGTACTGGCGAGGTTATCGATGCGATGCCGTATCTGAGACGGAGTATGTTGTTTACGATGGACTGGGCCCGGTCGGTGCCGTTTTACAAGAAAATCCTGGGGATGAGCGTGCAGGAGAGTAAGAGTGGAGAGGGAATGGCTATGATGATGAAGAAGGGGAGTGGGTATCCGAACTATGAAAATGGAGCTTGATTGGAGACTTTTTGCCAGAGGTTTTAAGGCGGGTTGATAACATTAGAATGGTCAATTATGCAAGGAAAGGGATAATTACGAGTTTTAATAATGCAAAGACGGTAAGCAAGGAATGGGGGCCCAAAAAAAAAAATTGACCTACGCAGGATTCGAACCTGCAATCTCTTGATCCGTAGTCAAGCGCCTTACCATTGGGCCAGCAGGCCTTGTTGACGGCGTTCTGCCGCTATTACATATATAGAGTAGATTGAATACTCTCTGCGATTATTGAAGATGTGCGCTTCCGCACGAAATATTTCAAGGAACAGAATATGATTCTGAGAAATAATGGGTTTCTTAATAAGTCCATTGAAGCTCCTCCTGAGCCAAAAAGTGTCAGAAGAAGTCGGGATTCATGTCACATCAGGAATATACATTCTTCGCAGCTAAGTTCATCGACGTGCAGGCCAAACTGAACGTCTGATGTAGAACGCTTATCGATGAGATGAAGATATCCAAGCATCGACCATATTTGAAAGACACTGTCGAACATCAAGTATCTTGGTATTTCTTCCATTACAGATGGTGGTTAAGAATGGTTCAGAACATATGCGCGTTTGCAGAGTTGGAGAATCAAGTAAAGAAGTCAAGTCTAGGACGACAGTTGCACCAGTATACACCGTCAGATGCAAGCAATGCTGGCATAGCAGACCTCAGGGATATGACCAAAAGGCTAGCATTCGCAATATTGTGGGGCTAAATACAGACAGCATTCAGGTAAGATATCCAATAGCTGTGCTCGTCTGCGTTGCGGATTCTATCATTTTTCCTTGAACCCTCCACCTGTGTCGACATCGGCAACAACGCTCGGCTTATGGCGAAGTACCCATGACTCCCACCTGTCAATACCTCTTGCACATACTCCTGCCTGTTGAAAGCTTGTTTCGAGCTGAACCGTCGAAGCAGTCTTTGGATAATTGAACAGGTGCTCCTCCAATTCAATATGGTAAATCAAATCTACTCTCAGCTCTAATTCAAGTGTATAGGCCAGAGGGGAGGAAAGAGCAAAGTACATAGCATGTCTATAGTATTGCAGCAATGACTAGCCGAGGTAGGCTGAGTTTGCGCTTGGCCCAAAAGTGATAGTTATCTTCATTCTTAGCCTTTTGTGCATTGTATGATCATCATGATTGACACAAAAACTTAATATATTTACAAAAACATTACTAAACAATAATATGACAGTGGCGTGTAGGTTACCTATGCCAGCGTGCACTGCTACAAGTCCCATATCACCCTTGCATATCAGCATCTTTGACAACAGAAGGCCTGATCTTTGGCAGCTTCCTTGATTCTAGCAACCAGGATGAAATGGTACCATACGTAACTGTTGACTGTCTGTGTTGACTGCCTCAACATCAGATCTGCATGAATGTGACAGCAGGACCTGCTGTGCATCATCACATGTAATTCATGATCAGCGCCCCCTTGCAGTTGATGCAAGAATGCTAAATCCATCCCAGATTGTGTTACGCGTTGCAATATGGAATAGCATCAGACCAATCATCGAACAAGTGGAAGGCAAGGGATGGACTCTAGATAGGAAGCAATCTACGCAACGGGTCAAAAAGAGAAGCAATTGACTTTATGCAGCGACCTGATCCAATAATATAGAGGTCTTGAGCAGGATTCTTCCTAACGAATTCCACTTATGGTCATCAAGGCCTTGCAGGGGAACACTTCTTGTGCAGGGTAGTCTGTGAAGAGAAACATCTATAGAGGTTAACCTGTGATTAGTTGTACCTTATGCATGGGCCACATTAAGCAATGTGATAGGTTAATGTAAGAAGTGATTGAAGAGCAGAAGCTCAAGATTCTCATATCAATTTAAATATCGGCTCCACTAGACTCCTGTTCGAACGTGTAGAATGTAACAGTATCTGTGCCAGAGGGCCGACGTCAGGCCTCAAGGAAGCTGTCGACAATGTCATCTGTAGATCACTGCTTGACTCAGAACAGGATTAATGTTCGAGACAGCGAGTTGAAACCAGGAGGCACATTCTAGCGCTTACTCTGCAGGCATAACATTATTCAAACCCCGAATCAAGGAGTATCCCTGCATTACTGTATTCGTGATCTGCACAGGAAGATCCACTCACACAATGACATGTTTACTAGGTGAGGAGTCAAGATAAAATATAAAGCCATGATTTTCTGCCAGTAGAGACTACTGTAGATTCTCTCTGGTCTGGTCTCTTACCACTTCGAAATGATGTACTGGATGCCTATATCCTGCCATCCTAACTTGCGAGCGACGAGGTTCTTCAGGGAATCAAGGTGACATCCATCTTCAATATTTCCCGGGCCTGGACTTGGCCAGACTTCATCCCGACCCGAAATGGGTCCGGTTTTCACCGGATCGAAAGAGCGTTTGGAGTAGGGAAACCGAAATCAAGGCAGTTTCCTGGCCTAGGGACCGAATCCACAACACCGTGGCTTCGGCGTGGCCCGTGTGGCTTTTTTCCCGATTGCTGCGGTTGGGGTATACAACGCTGACGGTGACCAATCAGCGTGGAGCCTTGGGCACATGAAAACATGTTTGGCACAGGGTCCAAGAATCCTCGTAGAATTTTCATCATCCACATCATCGTATCCTAGATTAGTTTGCAGATCGATGTTCCAAAGGGTGGATCACTGTCGATCATATCGGAGCAAGGGAGGATAGAAGCCGTGCCGAATTATCCCAATTAGGCAGGCAGTAAGTAAAATATGTCAACAGAAACCCGCATTCCAAGAGGTCGTGTTCTCTCCCGCGACTCTTAATCAATCGATTCGTCCTCGTCCGATCTGTATCACAGTCTCCTTTGGTAAACACAGAAGATTAAAAATTATCAATTCTTTTTACCCTCCTCACCGTGTCATTAGCGAACAAGCACAAGTTGACAGCCATGTCTGGGGATAAAGCTCCAAAGGCGTCGATTGAGCCACCTGCCTCTCTAAATCAGGGGCAGGGGCAGCCGTATCGCATTCTCTCCAAGAAGCAGAAATGGAATATTGTCATCTTTGTCTCCCTGGCGGGCTCCTTATCGCCCCTCTCGTCGAACATCTATTTTCCCGCTATCGAGACCATATCCACTGACCTGGGTGTGAATGCGTCCCTTGTTGCGCTGACAATTACCATCTACATGGTTGTACAGGGGATTGCCCCTTCCATCTTCAGCACGCTCTCAGACACCTGCGGCCGCCGCCTCACATTCACCATATGCCTCACTATTTACACGGCTGCCAACCTGGCTCTCGCTTTTACGTCCAGCTATCCAATGCTCATGGTCTTGCGAGGCCTACAGGCCGCAGGCTCTGCCGCTACGATTAGCATCAGCACTGGTGTCATCGCCGACATTACATCCGCAAAGGAACGTGGTGGCTTCATGGGGGCGAACGCCGGGATGCGGTAAGTGCTGCGGATACCACATGGCCCTAAAAGTAGTTCATATCACTGACGCCAGTAGTATGACGGGCCAGGCGTTTGGACCTGTCATTGGAGGTGCTCTGAACAGCGTGTGGGGGTTTAGAAGCATTTTCTGGCTGCTGTTTGCCTTGAGCGTGGTCATCCTCAGCGCCCTCCTTATCTTTCTGCCGGAGACTCATCGCGGCATAACGGGCAACGGCAGCATCCCTCTTTCGGGGTTTGGCAAGCCCTTTATCTATATGATCAAACCACCCATGGCGTCACCAATGGCGTCGAAGGGCAGCCCTGAGTCGAGTCGGCCACCGAGTCCTCGTCTACCGATACCCATGAAGAAGAAGAGAGCCTCCAGTCCTTTAGCCTATATATTTGAAAAGGATATCGCAGCCCTTCTGGCCTGGGGCGCAGTGGCCTACACTGCATGGAGCATGGTGACATCCTCGACTACGACGATGTTGCTGTACGGTTTCCCCTATCTTAATGAGTGGCAGCTTGGCCTATGTTTCCTGCCCAATGGCTTTGGCTGCATCTGCGGCTCGCTCAGCTCAGGCTGGCTCCTGGACCAAAGCTTCAGACGTGCCCAGGAGCGGTACAGACGAGAGCACAACATTCCATCCGAAGAAAGAATCGTCGGCAGGCGCGACTTTCCTCTCGTACGGGCCCGTCTACGTTACATGCCCCTTTTCAGCATCGCACTCGTCATCTCGCTAGTGCTGTACGGGCCCAGCTTCGAGTTCAACGACTTGCGGCGGCACTTCGGTCCGAACCTCGCCGCGCCGCTCATCCTCCAGTTCTTGATCGCATTCTCAGCAATGGCCCTCTTCAACATCAACTCGACGTTGCTGATCGACTGCTTTCCTGAGCGCCCTGCCAGCGCGACAGCGCTCAACAACCTGTGCCGTTGTCTGCTCGGCGCGGCGGGTGTCAGTGTCATCCAGCCACTGATTGATGCCGTAAGGGTGATGAAAGCTTTCTTCATTGTGACCGGCGTAGTGCTTCTTTTCCAACCGCTCATTTTGGTTGAATGGAAAATGGGGGAGCGGTGGAGGCGAGAGCGAGAGGACAAGCTGGCGGCTTGTGATGAAGTGAATTCCAGCTTCTAACATGCAAATCGTCTCCAAGCTAATGTGCAACGAACTATTGAGGAACGAATTTAACCGATAGAGCCTTAGGTGCAAAAAAGTTCAGAATAGAGAGTGTGTTAAGATCCATTGGATTGGATGGAGCTGTGAAGAGTATGGGAGAACAGACAAGACCTGCACATAACCGGGACATAGAATGTCTTCCCTATGAATAAGGCAATTCCGCTGCCATATAAGACTTGTCCCAATCTAACTATAAAAACATTGTATTTTTCGAAAACAGAACTGAATTGTGGGGTTCATCTGCAAAGAGAGAGTAGATTAGGTTCATCAACTAAAAACCTAACAAACAGCTAGGCTGAAGTCACAAGAGAGAAACCTACGTATTCACTTACGGAATAATGGCCATTAGCAGCAATACTTCTCTTTACACTAGGTTCAGACTTCAGACTGAATAACCTGTCTTGGGGCCA